TGACTTGTTTTGAACTGTTTGCGGACAATTTAATATTTAAATTGTTTTATTTTTTTTTTCTATGAATATCAATTAAGTTTTAACTGTTTGGCCAAAAAGTGACAAAATTTAACACAAGGCTCCTGATATATTGTTACAATAGTAGTTGAAAAATATTAAAAATACAGTCACAATTTTTTTTTATAAGCATTTAAAGATCGAATTTCGACAAAATTTATCAAATTTAAAATTGAATAATTATTTTGTAGTTAAAAATTTATAAAATGTTCAACTTTTATATCTAAGGATTCAAAATTTAAAACAAGATTCCAGTTAAGTCATTAATTCTGTTACCAAAAAAATCTAAAAAATACATAAACACGGTTATTACTATTAGTTATAACTATTTTAGTTATTTTGTTGTGATTGTATAATATATTATTCGTGGGTACTTGAAACTTCTAAAGTATACTATTTCATAATATATATCTATGATAGTTTCACGGTTTGTTGTTGATGTATAACGCGTTATAAATAAATAATGGATATTTTGAGAAGAATAATTTGGAATTTATTATAGGTCATTTTTTTTTTTGTACCATAGATAAATATATAATATGTGTTATAGTTATACCTAGACTGACATATCGTTTTTCTTATACAATGATATTATATCATTGAATTCAAATTTAATACCATCCATTAAACAGTGAATCACTTGTAACCTACTGTACAGCAGAGCACCTTTTTTGTATTATTTTGGTACTAATTGTTGTACCTGCTTATTAGAAAAATGCTAATACTAATGCTGAGAAAAAGTTAGCTTATCTTAATAAAACCGCTATTCCCCAAGAAAAAGATCAAAAATAGTACCTAAATAAATTGAATAATTAATTTCATACAATTTGTTGAAATTATATTTATATTTATTTAATAATTTTAAATATTTAAGGATATTTTGTCAAATACGTCAACCTTAATTCAAAGTGAAAATTCTGTTAATTAAATAATAATAAATGTTTTGGTTAATTTGTGTAGTATAAAACTGATATATATGTATTTAAACATACAAATACAAATTTAAATATAAATAGTAAAATATTATACAAATCTAAATGGTGGCTGTTATTTAAATTATAAATTTTGTAAATTCAAAGAATTGTTGTATTTTATGTATTCATATATTCTTTAAGAAAATTATACATATTTTATTGACGGTAGTCGGTAAGTAATTATATATACCCTATTTATAGCGCATATTAATAATATGTATCAATTACCAATAAATACAATATGACAATATGTGTTTAAGCCTTTAAGGTTAAAATAGTTTTGTTGAGTTTACGTACTTGTAATGTTTAATATAGAATAACTGCTTAAATATTTAAATAACTATTGAAGAACTCAAACTGTAATGCAATTTTAGATACCTATTAGTTTAAAAAAAATGGCCTATAATAGGTACCTATAATAAATTCCAAATTAATCATATCACAATATTCATTATAGGTACTTATAACGCGTTATACATCAACAACAAACCCTGATACTATCATAGATATATAATAGTGTACTTTAGAAGTTTCAAGTACCCACGGGCCACGAATAATATTATACAATCACAACAAAATAACTAAAATAGTTATTCTAGGTTTTTTATTATGTAATTTCGTTCAAATTTGAACTTAAAATTACTATAGAAATAAACTGCGCTTATGTATTTTTTAAATTTTTTGGTAACAGAATTAACTACTTACGTGGAATGTTGTTTTAAATTTTCAATGAATAGATATAAAATTCGAACATTTTATAAATTTTTAACTACAAAATAATTTTCAATTTTCAATTTAATAAATTTTGTCAAAATTCGATATTTAAATGCTTATAAAAAAAAATGGGGCTATGTATTTTTAATATTTTTCAACTTATATTATAACAATATATCAGGAGTCTTGTATTACATTTTTACACTTTTTGGCCCAACAGATAAAACTTAATTGATATTTATAGAAAAAAAAACTAAAAAAATTGAAAATTTAAAATGTCCGTAAACAGCTCAAAAAGAGTCAAAATATTTTCAAAATTGTATGGTGTATAGAAAATGCTAATCTAAACCTTCAGTGAAATTTTAAAGTATCTACAGTCATTCGTTTTTGAATTACAACAAAGTAAGGAAATCGCTACATTAGAAATCGAGTGAATATCCAATGTTGTAAAAATTTGAATTTCAAACGCTTTTAAAAATTTAATTTGACTTTCTTATAGACATTTTTATTTTTGATAAAGGGAAAATAATCTTATAAGGAATCTTGTATTACCTTTTAAAACCTTAGGTTTAAAAATAAAAACTTTTACGAATTCTTAACTCAAAATAATTTGCTAATTTTCGTGATTTCCATATTTTGTCAATTTTTGAACTTTAAATGTTATAAAAAAAACTGGGACTAAGGATTTTTAATATTTTTCATCTGCCTTTGAAACAATATAGTAGGAGCCTTGTATTAAATTTTCAAGTATTTTTACTCAACAAATAAATTTTTATTGTTATTCATAAAAAAAAAAAACTAATAAAATTGGAAACTGAACATGTCCCTAAACAGTTCAAAATAAATCAAAATATTTTGAAAATGTTATCGTGTATAGAAAATTCAAATATAAACAACCAGTGAAAATTTCATGTATCTACGGTCATTTGTTTTAAGGGGATTCGATACTGTGATTTTCTGTTTTTATCTAACACACGGGTGACATAGTATTTTAGATGTGTTTTTTGCCAAACATTCCAATTGATCTATTTAAGTGCTACGATTTCTGAAAACAGATTTGAATTTATCGTCAAGTCTACTTGAAATCGACTTTCCCACATTTTTGATTTTTTGATTTTAACTTCTCCAAAAATTGAAATAACAGAATTTTTAAATACTCTTTTTGAATATGACATTTAAAAAAAATTGGGGGATAATATCAAAAATGTGGGAAAGTCGATTTCAAATAGACTTGACGACAAATTCAAATCTGTTTTCTTATCGCTTCATTAGATCAATTGGTATGTTTGGCAAAAAACACATCTAAAATACTATGTCGCGCGTGTGTTAGACAAAAACAGAAAACCACGGTATAGAATCCCCTTAAGGTTACACCAAAAACCAAAATCGATTTTTTCCAAAACAGATTTTGCGTAAAAATTCCCGTTTTTCCTTATTTTTAGAGGGGATGGAAGGTCGTTCAAACTAGGCGTGCGAATTTGTACGAATTAAGTGCTAAATATCTGTATAGTTTGTTTATAGATTTTCCTTTTTTTGGGGGGGGGGGCTGACAAAATGTACGTGGGGCTGAAGACACATGCAAATTTGAAAAATGAGTAACACATGAACCAACAGATTACGATAGAGTTGAGGGGCCAGGCATGCAAATACATGCTAATTACATGCTAAATATTGGCGTAGAAACTATTTTGAATTTCCGAGTATTTCCCAATTTGGGGGGGCTGGGGACACGTGGAAATTAGAAAAATGAGTATTGCGAATCAACGGATTACGATAGTGTTGAGGGGCCAGGCATGCAAATACATGCTAAATATCGACGTAGAAAAAAATTTGAAAATTATGTTTTGTGATTTGTGAGGGGGGTCGGAGACACGTGTTTACAGCCCCCACCTATTTTTTGATCCCACGCCTAATTAAAACCCATGCAAATACATGCTAATTGCATGCTAATTATTTTCCAAAAAAAATTTGGAAAATTCTAATGTGGGGGGGGGGGGGTTTGGAGACACTTACTTAAGCTTCATAATCTTCTTGCAGTGGACTTGAAAGTCGGAAATTTATAGATAATACATATGTACCTATAATCTATATGTTTACTTATAGGTATAACTATTTATATTAAAAAATTATTATTAAATTTTTATTTGTACTTCCAGAATTTTGGAACTTTGAAGTTACATTTTTAATAGATAATAATAATTATTATGAGTTAGGTTATTTGTACATTGACTGAGGAGAATGCCAGAAGGAAATAATATGCTAGGTAAGTTAACTAGCTATAGGTAGGTAAATAAGAAGAAAAAATAAATATAATGTTAACTATTCCGGCATTCCACCTTTAACAGAGAATAAAGTATTCACAGTTCACACACATACAACAAATAGGTAATAAAAATAACAAATAGTACACGAACGGTTCTTTTATTTTAATAATATAAAACATCAAGGTCACAGTCCAGATCAGGCCTGTCGTTAGGGCACAAGCAAGTCATGTGTTGCTTTAAGGTGGCATACAATTTAAAAAAAAATTAAGGCAGCAAAATGAAATAAATATCGGTAAAGAATATTAATGGCATCAAAATGTTTGCTTTAGGGCGGAAAATATCTAACGACGGGCCTGGTCCGGATCTCAGGACAGCCCAGTGCGTCCAACGCAGACCTCCAGGCTCCAACTGATACAAATTATTGCTCCCTAGCCACGTATTCATATATTTGATATTTACAACGTTTACATGTTTACAACAGTATGATTAATAAATCACCAGTAAGTATCGTTCATTTATAAACTAAAATGTGATTTTATTATTTTAAGCTTTATTTAGATAATTCAATTAAAGTGAATACACCTCTCTACTTGTTAGGTATATACAAATATAGCCATATAGGAGTTACTTGGTGTGGCGCAGTGCATACATTCAACTGCGGAAACGCACTGAGTGTATGTAACGGCCGGCGTTGCTAGTTCCCGGATGGGTGACCACCTGGGATATTTAGCAACGAATCCTTGCCACACATACAAAACGTGTTTTCAACAGTTCCTCCCCCTACTAACAACCTACAAAAAAAAAATATATAGGATTTTTTATCTGTTATAGCATTGATTATAAATCCTAATACTAATCAATGCTTATAGGTATGTAGGTACTAGGTACTAGGTACTAGGTACTAGGTCTAAAACTTAAAATAAATGTAACTATTAAAAAAAAAATAATTTATTATTTATATAATATAATATTTGGTAGGTATGTAATATTTTTATAAGTCCGTTGTATTATCATATTTGGAAGTGTTGTAGTATAAATAGTCCCATTGATTTAAAAATTCCAACACGACACCATTTGTCCAACCAAACCCTAACTGTGGTGCATATTCGCCGCCACCGCCACTTATTCCTAAAGCTAAAGCGTCATACTGTAAAATCATTTTTAAAAAGTTAAAAAATTGTCTGTTTTGCATAAAATTGTTTATGTTCATATTTTATTATTTTAATATTTTAAAATATTGTTATAGTACCAACATTTGAAATATGTCTTAAATAGTTAAACGGTAATGATATAAATGGTTTCATACTTTTTCGAACATGGATTCGTTATTTGTAAATCCACGATAATTTGTGCGCAACCACACCTCGGCCAATTTCACTGCAACTTGTTTTGCGTTTTTTTGTTGAGTCTTATCCAGACCTTGTATGATAAACGCTTGGAGAGGAGGCCATGCATTCGGGAAATCCCATTGTTGAGATGATGAGTACATTGACGTAGGTATTCCTATTGTGAAAAATGATAAAACTTTCATAAATTATATTGAGAAATACACTCTAAAATCATATGTAAAATAAAATACCTAATCAATGTATAAAGCCGGGTCCACACTAGGGCGAACATTGTTGTCGAACATGTTCGTTGAGAATGTTTCCTTTAAGCCGGGTCCACACTAGGGCGAACATTGTTGTCGAACATGTTCGTTGAGAATGTTTCCTTTACTCGACGAACCAGTGCTACCGTGCTTTGAAATGTTCGACAACAGTATTCGTTCAATTTACACAAAGATTTCCCGCCTTGGCAACTTAAACATTTCCCGTCATATTATTTATTTTTATATTAGTAGGTACTTACATCTATTGCGGTGTGGACGTGTAATTGTCAATTTTTTAAAAATATTTATCAATTTAAATTTTTTTTTTCAATATGAGTGATGAAGATATAATAATTACAAGTGCAGCTTTTGTTTTTACATCGTTAGTTTCTCGAGTAAAGAAAAATAAATCTTTACATAAAAGACGTTGGTGGCAACGTACAATTTTTGAAAGTAGATGTCGTTATAATGGAAACGATTTATTAAATGATTTAAGACTGGAACATCCAGGATTCAAAAACTTTATACGGATGTCACCAACAGATTTTGAATCATTGCTTGAAGTTATTGGTCCTCAAATTGGAAAGGATATAACTCATCTAAGGGAAACGATTTCACCAAACGTGCGGCTGGCCGTAACATTACGTTTTTTGGCTACTGGTGATTCGTATACAAGTTTAATGTATCTTTTTAAAATTTCCAAACAAATAATATCTAATATAGTTCCAGAAGTATGTGAAGCTATAGTTGAAGCCTTAAAATTATATGTTCAGGTAAATATTAAAAACCTAAATAGTAAATTATAATATTAGTTATATTGACATCGTACTATCCATAATATATTATAATGTGAATAAAATGTAGATAAAAAATATGTAAACGATATAGGTACAAACAGTTTTATTATAATAGGTAAAAAAACAAGTTATTAAATAATGGCTGAAACTTTATTAAAAACAAAAAAAAAATAATTAAAATCACTTTTGGACATAAGTATATTATTTATAAATTATATCCCCAATATAATAATAAATAAGATTTTTTAAGAAAAATTAACATATTATATTAATTATAAATCAAAATAAAATTATATTAGAAAAAAAGAGTAATTACTTACTATTTAGATAAGGATACGCACTTTGTTATCTCTCTCTAGTGATAGCAGACGTAGTATTAACTTTTTAAATTAATTAATATTATAATATGGTGGAGCGTTTTCTTGTGTATTTAGAGAATTAATTTCATTTGTTGGTGTAAACGGTATGCTGGAGTTGGGTAATGGACTCAAATTATTATTTAGAGTGAAAGATGTTGCAGTTAATAAAGGAGAGAGTGTATTTCCTGAGGATGTACTGATAGAATGTAAAGGAATAAAAGAATTATTACTTGAAGACGGACCGGAAAAATGTAAAGGATAGTCAGGTTGTTTATTTTGTTGTAGCATTAACATATCCGATTCGTGAAGAATACAGTTAATTTTGTGTTCTGTATTTAGACGAATAAAATCTGCATAAGACCTAAGTTTGTTAGCGACGTGTTCACCATATGTAGTCGCATTGTCCTTTATTTTATTTTTTTCAGCATAAGTTTTCAGTATAGAATAAACCTCATCTACCCTTGGATCCTCATCTGTTTTAATTTTTTTTTTTTTTTGTCTTGGCGATGAAAATCTCTTTGGTCGTTGCAGTGTAATTTCCCCATCACCATCAACACTATCTACCACAATGTAGTCGTCTTCCACGCAATCTTCATCATCTATTTCTTCCTAAACAATAATACCTAATTATGTATATACATAATATACATAAAACCGATGCATACACAGGGAGGGGCTTAAATCATATAAAAAAATGATTTTAAGAAAACTTTATAGCCCCCTCACCATAGGTGAAAATATAAAATTTCTGGCTACGCTATACAGTGTTATAAAAGACAATTTACCGTAGAATATATCAGAATATTATAAACTGGTTTATTTTGAATCGGTAATTTGGTTCTTTACTTCCTTAGTAAGTATGTACAACGTGTATAGTTATTGGAAAAAAAAATAATTTAACGTTAAAAGTTAATCATACACCAAATTACCAAAACCGTGGTTTTTATAATAGTACCTACGTTATATTTATTCAAAGAATACCATGTTTGTAAATATTACAGTTGAAAATGAATGCGAAAAATATTTATATATTTAAATAGTTATCAATTTCCTTTACAATATGTTTATACTGAACAGTTGGTAAATTAAGTAAATTTAAGTATCATTATTCATTCCTACAAAGTTCAAAAAAATTGATTTAAAATAAAAAAAAAAATTGGGTAAGTGGATATTGCTCTGCTGTACAGTAGGTTATAAGTGGGTTACTGCAGTTTAATGGATGGTACCAAATTTGAATTCATTCATATAATATCATTGTATACAAAACGATTCTGAGCGGAGACGGTTTGTCAGTGTGGATTCTGGGTGGAATGATGAATGTATTGATTTTACAATGATGTGTGTTTTGGTTTTTGGTGTAACTCTAAAACAAAATATGAACATGAAATACATACATACATATTTCATGTATATACATGACATTTTCACTGGTCGTTTATAAATTTGCATTTTCTATACACGATAAAATTTTCAAAACATTTTGATTTGTTTTGAACTGTTTAGGAACATTTTCTGTTTCCAATTTTATTAATCTTTTCTTCTATGGATGTCAATAAAACTTTATTTGTTGGGTAAAAAAGCATGAAAATTTAATACAAGGCTCATGATGTATTGTTTAAATGGTAGTTAAAATATATTAAAAATACATAGGCACAATTTTTTTTATAAGCATTTAAGGTTGAAATTTTGACAACATTTATCAAATTTAAAATTTGATAATTGTTTTGTAGTTAAAAATTAAATGTTCAACTTTTATAGCTAAGGATTAAAAATTTAAAACAAGGTTCCACATAAATAGGTTGTATATAAATTACTTTGTTCACAATAATATCAACAAATATACTTAGTAATATCATACGCAGGATGACCGTCTTTGCTCAGAACCTTTTTTTTTATACAATGATATTACATAATTGAGTTCAAATTTAACACCATCCATTACAGTGACCCACTTGTAACATACTGTACAGCAGAGCGACACTCACTTGCTCACTTTTTTATATTATATTTATATTGTTATTACTATGGTAGTCGGTAAGTTGAAATTATATTATAAAATTATAACAAAATAACGAAAATTGTTATTCTTGGTTATTTAATAAGTAATTTCCTCCAAATTTGAACATAAAATAACTATAAAAAAAAACTGTGTTTTATATTTTTGAGATTTTTGACTAATAGGATAATATAACAACTGAATACAATTTTTTTTATCGTTTTAAGTGTTTTTTAATAATTTATAAAATACCATAATATTATAATAATTATACGGATACCTAATATGATTTTTTATAATTTAATACTTAATTCAAAAATCCTTAAATGTGTAATAATAATATGAAATAAATTATTTAGGAGTAACATTATACTTATTAAAATATTTTTATATTTGTTTTGTATTTAAGGAGGAATCATAAATTATTTAAACCAAAAATGTATTTAATTTGTATTTTGTTTAAAAAAAATTTACCTACTTATATTAAATATTATAATGTATTATCTACTGCAATTTGAAATCTAAAACAATGCAATATTGAAATGTATTTAAAATAAATATAATTTTTTTTACTTGGTTGGCGGGGGGGGAGGGAGGGCTATAACACAGAAAAGTATATAATAATTTCTTAATATTATTTTAACAATATTTTACAATAAACTATAAAAAAAATTATAATTATTTTTAGATGCCTAATTCACCAAATGGATGAGAAATAATAGCAAATGACTATAATGAGTTATGGAATTTTCCACAATGTGTAGGTGCCATTGACGGTAAACACATCGTAATGCAAGCACCTTTTAATAGTGGCACTGAATATTTCAATTACAAGGGGACATTTAGTGTTGTTCTACTTGCAGCAGTGGACGCACATTATTGTTTTATTTTTGCAAGTGTTGGGTGTCAAGGTAGGATATCAGATGGAGGAGTATTTAATAATTCCATCTTGGCAAAAAAAATTTACGATGAATCTTTAAACCTACCATCTCCAAAAGCACTTCCAGGACAACAAGAAAAATCTTCATATGTTTTTGTCTGCGATGATGCTTTTCCATTGAAGGAAAATTTAATGAAACCTTTTCCCGGGACTCATTTAAGAGGTTCACCACAGCGATCTTTTAATTATCGTTTATCAAGGGCACGACGTGTCGTTGAAAATACTTTTGGCATAATGGCTTCGGTTTTCCGAGTCTTAAGAAAACCGTTATTACTACAACCAGAAAAAATAAATACTATTGTTTTGGCTTGCGTCCATTTGCATAATTTTTTAAGACGGAGTGAGTCGTCAAAAAATTTATATTGTCCACCAGATATTTTTGATACTGAAGATTTTGAAAATGGAACTTTAAAAAAAGGAACATGGAGAAGTGATTCGTCGGAAACCACGTCATTTTTACCATTAAAGAAATGTGGACGAAAATCAGCAGCAGCTGTACACGAAACTCGTGAACGATTTGCTCATTATTTTTCAACTACAGGGCGTGTACATTGGCAAGATGAATTTGAATAAATTTTATTTAATTACCTACTTCTATTCTTAATTTGTATTTAGTGAAGTATTGTCTATTATCTATTTTTCTATTAAATATTAACTAATAATTACTATCAATTCATTGTTTTTTAAATAATTATTTAAATAAAGTTGTTATTACCTGTGCTTCATAAGTGTCTCTAGTATTTTTAGGTTTGTTTCTATCCGACAAAAAACTTAATGGCCTATACAAATACCACGCACTTGTATAACTATCCTCAGTTCCAGCTCCAGATTTTTTAGTTTTTACTTTATGTTGTTCCCTACGAAACTGGGACTGTACCGTCTTCCATTTTTTGTCGACTTCTTGCTGCGAAACACCTAAGATCTTAGCAATTTCATTTATTGAATCCGTCCTTCGGATCCGATTTTTGTATAGGTTGTGAGCTGGATTCCAAATATTCTCACTCTGCTGTACTAAATCTATAAGCTTGAGAATTTCATCTTGATTCCAGACTTTTTCGGTGGACATTTTAAATAAGTAGATTAACACAACACGTTCATACCGTGGAAAAATACGAGTGACGACTGACGATTGAATTGGAAATTCAATGCACGCAAATATAAAATAAACATTATAGACATAGATCTATTATTAAAATAATTTGAAAGATCGTTCTTCAATTTTGGATTTCCCTGTACGAATAAAATATGTGAAAGTGGCACGAAATTGAGCTAAATTTAGTAATATGTACGTATAAATGTAGTTACAAAACGTTAAATAATTCTCCACTACAGCAATAATATAAATATTTTTAATATTATATTTTTCTGAGTGGAACGATGAATGTATTTAATATTATTATTACCTATTAATTTCTAAATACTTAAACTTCGAATGTGCAATACGTAGAACAAATACGTACTACTTGAAATAATTTACTTATAGTATATACTATATACCTACCCAATTAATTCGATATAATACTATTTTGCTTATATTTTAAATAAAACAATAATAATTCAGCGTTTACCTATACTTAAAGCAGGCTTATAGGTAAGCTGCAGGTAAGCTTGATCAATAACCAGTCATTGTTGTTAAACTTTTTAAATGGTAATTATTTATTCAAAAATATTTATTCATTTAAAGATAAAATAAACATTTTATATTTTTTATGTATAAATTATAATTTATGAATAATTTGTTGTCGAACACGTCCACACTGAAGACGGTGTTGCCAAACATTTTCTTTGATGTTCGTTCAAATACCGCCTGTTGAGCGAACATTTGAATGTTGTACGCGCACACATAAGAAACACGTACAGACTAGGTGAAACATTCTCAACGAACATGTTCGACAACAATGTTCGCCCTAGTGTGGACCCGGCTTAATAGGTAATGATGGTAATATACCTAATTTAAATTTTGCTGTACCTACACTCAACATATTATATTTTTACATCATGTACTCATGTACCTATACATCAGTTACAAATTTTATTGATTTTTCAAATAATAATATTATTGAATTAAAATGGTAAGTAGATATTAGTATTGATTATAAACAGTGGTGTATTGGAGGGTATACGCGGGTATACGTCGTATACCCGGATCCCTATTTTTGGATTTATGCGTATACCTTTAAGAAAATTAGTCTTTTATGGGTATACGCACGCTTCTAATTTATCATCAGACAATTTAGGCATATTATCACCAAACAAAAGTAAAAACTTAAAAATAATAATAATAATAACCTAAATTATATTTAGTTATAATATTTTATTATAATATAAAGTGCACTGTCCAAAAATACTAAAAATAGCCCCATACCCGCATGAAGTTCGATTAAATTTTACCCGACGTTTTCTTGCGAAGACGATCGGAAACTGCAGGGCAATACAATCAATCAATGAACAATCAATGTACAGCGGTTCCCAAACTGTGAATAAACATACGTAATTTCATTTCAAACTAAATGATAATGACAAATTAGAATAATAATAAAATAATTATTGTTGATGTATTGTGTTATTACTTGTCATCCAATAACCAAATTATAAAATCGAACTATTAGTTTCTCATTATATTTATTCTATTAATTTTGAAATTCTTTTAAATTTGTAAAATATTTTATACAAATAAAGTATATATAAATATTTGTATATAAATATATTATAATATTATATGATCGATAATGGATAATAAACGTACCGCTACTTCTACTATATAAGTATTTTACTGTACAATTGTTTTAAAATTTGATAATAAAAAGTTGTATTATTTATGATATATATCATATATGAATTGGGAACAAGTCTAGTTTACCGGGTTTTTTTTTTTTTTGAAATTTTTTTTTTGAAAAGGATTGTTTTGACGAGTTAAGAACGATGGTGCAAAAATAAAATTGCGGAAATGATTATTTTGGAAGTTATAGCTTCCCAAAGTTAACGATTTTACGTTTATACGCGCGCAACACTACTATAATGCCGCGTGGAGGACCTCGAGTTTGGCGACCGTTTGGCAACCCTTTTAAAAAAAAAATTTCAAAAAAAAAAGGTGCCCGGTAAACTAGACTTATACCATGAAATTGAATTAATTAAAAAAAAAATAATACATTGATACTTGGTACATATTACACACAGTGGAGTATATATGAATTAATTTTATGGTTGTGGGTGAATATAGGGCCAACTGGGGGGCGTATATAGGGGGGTATATACGCCACTGCATATACATATACACATGAAGAGTAAGTGTTTGTAATAAAGTTATAAAAGATTATTAAATACAAAGTGTAATCATTTTTTGAGCGGAGCGAGAAAATTTTTAAGGTAGGTATATCGTATATATAGGTATATACTATATTCAACTACTTTTAGGTGCGTATACCCATACATTTATTTACCAATACACCACTGATTATAAATACTATAAAGTATATAGTAATATTAGTATTATTATTTATTATAGGTATACCATTGTATTTAATACTGTAATCAAGCTCGATTATACGTTGATCACTCAAATATTTCAGAACTGCATTGGCCACTTTTTCTTTTGGCATGTTATAACTTTCCGTCCACAGAGGTACAATATTCGATGCATAAAAATATTCTCGACTCTTATTGTTGATCAAATCCCAATCAAACCAAGCTCCTTTATTTGGTTTCCACATAACCTAGAACCAAATTTTCGCTATAGCAGTCTTAAATTTATTATATTATAAAATCCTGGTTTATATAGGGCATAGATAGGTATAGGTATTAGGTATTTAATATTTATGTTTACATATAAACATAGGAAAGTAGTAAAAAAAAATACTAAAAAGATAGACAAGTTTGTACCGCTATCGAAAATGTGATAATTTTTACATTTTACTACCTATCCCAAATGCCGATGACAGAAAAAAAAACACATCATTGTAAATTTATAAATTCAATACATTCATTCTCTAAGCTCAGAATCTAAAATACCATACTAAAATAATAAGTATGCATAAAGCATAAAAAGTATATATAGTATATATTATATACTATATACATACAATCACTAAATTATCCAAGATTAAATAAATATATATCTTAGGTAGGTACCTTAGTACCTATATTATTTTTTTATGTTATTACAGTATACACTATTTTATGGATTCTTACTATTATTAATATGACATACTTATTCATATATGAAAAAGAACTGGATAGGGATTGTCGAAAGATCACATATATGGTTTATATTATTTTGATAACATATTTTATAATGCTTCATTCTCAGCCAAAGATAAATTAGAAAAATGTGTCATTAATTATTATTTTATTATGTAAAACGCATAGGTACACTGAAATAAATTATATACATGCAGCCTACCTATTGTATATCTAATTATCTATATGTAATTTAAAATTTTTAATCCCTTATTGCTGAAACCAGAATCATAATTTTTTTTTCAATTACCGGGACAGAACAGAACAGAATTGTTAGATGTTTTTCTCAAGAACTGAAACTGGAACCATTACCGTTAGAATCAAAAGGTCCCAGTCCCTACTACTTATTTGTTACTATGTTAGGTATATATTTGTTTAACTATTTGTAACATAAATATTAGATACCCTTACTTCTTGTATATTTTCGAGAAACCCATTTGCAATTGTTCTGTATTTGGCAGCATTTATTTCATCTCCCATTTGATCAAACCAAGTACTCAATGTAAGTGCATTTACATGAAGTATGCTGTTTAAGTCAACTGGGATAATGTTTGCCGTTTGTATATCAGATAAATTACCTGTGTTAAAACATTAAGCCCATAAATTATGTTTAATTGTACAGTTTTAAATGTATGTTTACCGCTATTAGTGCCATTGACTGCTATGAACCATCTACTTGAAAAGTCCCAACCAGATTCTGCAGCAGACTTTATGTGTATGTATAATTCATTTTTGTCTTCTGATCTCTGATGTTTTTCTGCCAATTTATAATCGTTCCTAGGCGTATACATACACAACATACACATTATTATTATTGTTTTCAAAATTACAATAACTCAATACAATATGTAATTTATTTATATTATATATTTTACAAACCTGTATGATTCGGGTCTTGGTCCACTTGACCGTGAGCTGTATCTAGCCATTGTATACTGTTTACCATCTTTCTCAAAGGTAACCATTCGATTTTTCAACCAAAATAGATATTCATTTTCCAAACTCTAAAATAAATAATAATAAATGATAATATAAGTTTATTCACATTACTATTTTTATTCAACTTACACCTATAACGGTTTTTATGAAGTCAAAATCATTAGTTGCTTTATAGTAACTTAATGCCATCAATATAAGCATCGGTGGTTGTGATCTGTTTAGATAGAAAACTCGGTTACCGTTGGGCATGAAACCAAACTGATCCACCAATGATATTATATTTTCAATGATACCGCGAGCTGTGGTTCTCATATCACATTGCAGTAATCCATTAACAATCCAATAAGTATCCCAATAGTAAAGTTCCTTAAATATACCTCCTGGTATAATGAACCCATTTGGTACCCATACCAGTGAGTACTTATCTGGATGTATTTTTACGTCATCCTTGATCTTCCTTGCTAGGGTCATCCATACATCATTCAATGCTCTAGCCCAATATATGTAAGTTTTATCTTTAATTCGATTAAGAATCGATGGTTTATCGGTGAAATCTGTAGGTGTCCATTTAATTAACTCGTTAATTTCTTCAAAATTCTCATCGATAAACTTGACTAAATCTTCGTCAGACGGTACATTATTATTATTTCGTTTCATTTGATCATACTTTATCAGAATCTCAGATTCAGTATATTTAAGTTTTTTAGATAAAACATTTGTACAGTTTGGGTGATTGCAACATATTTGTACATCGTGCAAAAATTCACTATTGCAGTAAATTTTACTGAAACATTTAAAGAATTTATAATAAAATATTATAGCCTATAGAGTATAGGTAGGTATTTATAATTCAAATTACTATACAAACATGTAGTACCTACCTATATCACAGGATAGAATAATATACCTATTTCTATATATTTATTCAAAGGTGGGCATTAACTAGTTAAAAAGTTAAAGTTCAGTTAAAAAGTTAATTTTTTTTTAACTTTTTAACTTAACTAGTTAGTTTATTTTCTAATCAACTTATGAACTTAAATAGTTTAATTTACAATTGAAATAACTTAGCTTTTCTCAGTTGATTTAAAAAAATCCATTAAGTTAAAACATTTTGAAATTGTTCGTTTATACTTAAATATTACGAATTTCGAACGCTCATAAAAATTTAATTTGACTTTCTTATAGACATTTTTTTTTTTGATAAAGGTAGATAATCTTATAAGTAATCTTGTATTACATTTTAAAATCTTAGATTTAAAAAGAAAAATTTTTACGAATTCTTAACTCAAATTAATCTGCTAATTTTCGTGATTTTTCCATATTTTGTCAATTTTTGAACTTTAAATGCTTATAAAAAAAAATTGTGACTAAGGATTTTTAATATTTTTCATCTGCCTTTGAAAGTTTGAAACAATATACTAGGAGCCTTCTATTAAATTTTCAACTTTTCGCAACCAACAAATAAAATTTTATTGATATTTTTAGAAAAAAAGATGGAAAATTAAAATGTCCCTAAACAGTTCAAAATAAATCAAAATATTTTGAAAATGTTATCGTGTATACAAAATGCAAATATAAACAACCAGTGAAAATTCCATGTATATACATTCATTTCTTTTAGAGTTACACCAAAAATCAAAAACGATTTTTTAGAATACCGATTTTGCGTAAAAATTCCCGTTTTCCCTTAATTTTATGTTGTTTTTCCCGGTGCTTGTGAAAACTACTGGAAAATTTTTACTTTTGACCTCCCAAAGTACCAACTAGATTCACTTTCCTATCAGAAAAGATACTGTTGAAGAAAATCCAAGCACTTTTACTGTCCTAAAACGTGATGACAGACACAAAAATAAAAAAAAAAATAAAAAAAAAACGCACAATATTGTAAAATCAATACATTCATCGTTTCACTCAGAATCTAAAATAGATTAACTTTTTTTAAACTGAGTTAAGTTAATATTTTTACTATATGAACTTTTAACTTATCGAGTTAAATTTATAATTTGTTAACTGCTAACTGCTAACTTTTAACTAATCGATCTTGTGTCCTCTTAACTTAATTTAACTTGAGTTAATTATTTTCATTAACTTGCCCACCTTTGTATTTATTTATAATTTATTTGTATATTTTAAACGGGCGAACCCAGTTACAATTATTATTTACATACGTCTAAGATTACTATAATAATAACTAGCTGATCCCGTGCACTTCGTTTCCCGTTAAATGTACCAACTCTATATGACTCAAACATTGTTCAATGCGTTATTTAATATTCGGTGTATGATGTTCTAGATTTATCTTAACTTTTCTGTTGCCCTGAATAAAAATTCTGAATTGCAGCAGTACATTATCAGATATAGGTAATTTACCTGCGGTAGATCGCGGACCCCGTGCTGTTTGTACGTAAGTGTATGATTTAACTCAAAAAGTACCAAAGTTATACCAAGTTTGACGTTTTTACTTAATTCCACCTAGGTACCTATAAATCCTAACCTAACATAACCGTACTAAAATCCGATGAATAAAAAAAACCAAATTTAACCCTTTTTAAATTAGCGTATCTTCTTCCCATAGGTCATTCATTTATGTATAAGATATATATATATTTACAAAAAATAATAATACAAATCAACAAACATGCCCGATTAACCAATAGCAACCAATATAATATAATACACCATAGAGTAAATAAAGACAACGGCAGGGGCGGACTGGCCAGGTGTGCTAGTGTGCCGCAGCACACCGGGCCGGCTTATATGTGTGGGCCGCTGGGGCATTTGAACATTTGACGATATTATTAATAAATTTATTTTTAAATACGAAACAGTTTAAAAACCACTGCTATTGTTTGGTACAATTCTACAATCAGTTCATAGTCGAACCATAAGTATTATAATAATAATAGTATGACTGTATGAGCACATATGGTATGTTGTATATTGTAATTACTAATTTGTATTATAATTCCTTAACCAACAATTTTAAAAATCAGTTTTATCCATGTTATAAAAACAAGGTATGATCGTAACTTTTTGACGGTCAGATCATTCGGTAAGCACGTAACGTAAAGTAGTGTTTAGTAATAATAATTTAATGCCAATATGAGTAAGCAAGTGACGTATTGCGCGACTTGGACCAAATCTGGACTTTTGCAATCATACCACGTTATTTATATCATGGTTTTATCAGTTATAATCTAGAATTTCACAATTTTTGTCATACGTTAGACTCATCATATTTTATTTTTTTTTATTAGGTCTTCCTGTCGCAGCCTGTATATAGATTATAAATAAACAATAGCCAATAAGTTATACTATATATTTTATAAGAATGATAAATGTAAAAATGTATAATACTTTTGATATTTTTGATGTTTGTTTACTATTGTTTTTACTTTTTATCATTTATTTCATAGTCACAATTCATACTGGGATTAAACCAAAATCATCTTAATCAGTTTCAGAATCATCGCATTATTATAGTCATTACTTTTAATATAAACTTCAAGCTTTAATAAATATTTGCAAATGGTTCAATGATTGTAGTTTAGCAATAACTTTCTGGCGGTCGATGTACCAACCAAATCGTATAAAGTGTTTAAACATTTTTCTAGATTGGCTATTTTGAATTTTTCCAATTTTCATTAGAAAAAATATTTTTTTATATTATACATCTATTTCATCAAGTGACTATAAATTATTTATAAAAAAAAAATTTATATATTGATTAGAACAAAAGTTCTTTTATCCGTCAGGTCTTCCTGTTACACTCTGTATTTTAAAACATTTAATGTATTCTGATATAAATCATATTTATTTTAGGATGTATTATGTAATAAAACTCTGAAAAATACAATATCCATCACAATTAAGATTATTGTTTAATATATTATGTCAATAAATTGCTCATTTCTTTGAAATATGAAAATATTAATATTTTTTCTTGTGCATGAATACATTTTAGCTCTGTCGTGCATTCAAATAAAGTGTGAGAGGTTATTTAGTAAACTAAAAATAATTAAAAACATACTGAGGTTTCTTTAAGATTTAATACACCAACACCACTTTACACTCCAAATAGGAGGTATCCTGGGGTCTTCTACCTCTGGACTACAAGACAAATTAATAGGTGTATTATATATTTGATACGCTATCCGAAAAATAAGGTATTCATAAACTATAAAGAAGCTGTTATAAAGGATTTTGGGCCGCTTAGTTATATAGAATACTGGGCCGTTTACCTCCCAGTCCGCCCCTGGACAACGGTATCGAGTTCAAATCCCAGACATCAATAAATAGTTTTTGCAGTTTTTCTAATTATTCGGTTGACTTTTTAAAAATTTTCTTTCGTAAAAACCTTCACCTGGCAATTACGAACATCTTAAAAAAAATTTGAGACAAATCGGACCAGCCGTTCTCAACTGATGCAATTTCGAATTTTTTGTCTCCATTTTTATATATATATAGATAATAATAATATTAGTTATCACATCACACTAATTTAAAAATTATAATATGACAATATAGACTATAGTGTATTCATTTATTGAATTATAGGTACCTACATACATTACTAAAAATGTATTTTACTTTCTTTAATATAACAATAGATTATAGATATTAAATTATATTATGACAGTTGAAAGATGTATCTTATACACTTATAACTACTTAAGTTCTCAATTTGGTATAGCTACCTACTGTAATACTGTATAATATAGTGTATTGTCTGTATTATATTCAGCTATTAGCTACATTGAATGACATTTCGAATGACATTAATATTGTGGAAACTATAACTTAATAAGTAATAACGATTAACGACTGTAATATGAAATAATTTATCAATTATTATTTGTAATATACCGGTATGTAATACAGTGTCTCATAATAATATTCATCATGCATTTTTCATTATTCGAATGGTAATGTTCATATACCTATAGGCCAGGGAAGGCAAATCCATCACTTTTGACGGCGCATGCAAATAATTTAAATATTTAGATTTTATATTATTTTTCTTTTTAATAATAATGAACATCACAAATTTACAGATAGAATTGAATAACCGTTATTGACCTATTTCACAATTTAATGGCACGCTTGAAAAAAAGGTGAGTTTAGGCTCTTAATAATTTTCTACCCCTGGTAAAGTGAAAGTGTGAATTTATACGAGCCTTCTACATTAATTAATATGCAGGGTCATATATATTCATTATTCATACATCATACCTCATAGTCATAATACATCAGAGAATCGTGCTTATTTGAGATGGCAAGAGTCCAAACTCCAAAGACCTTGACGACATATTGTTAGTCTTATAGACTATAATACCTACGATTTTTATATACTATTTTAACTATTGGTCTATAATTTCAAAACTGTTTTAGAATTGTTTAGTTTGTAAATCAACGTGGGATCAAGGGGATTAATTTGACATTTTTGAAAGTTTACTTTGCACAACAGGCGATCGGACGCTCGATCCAGCGATTTAAAAAAATTAATAAACTAAGAATGAACGTTGAACGTAAATAGTCCAGGTCTTGAAACCGATTTTAGAAACCGGTATAAACCGTTTAAAAACTGAAACCGATAACCAAATCAAATACAAAATCGGTATTAAATCCAAAGCCGAAAACGAAAAAAATTGGAAACGAGTGTACAAATCGAAACCAAAACAGAAATTTTTCAATCGTTTTCAAGCCATGTAAAAGTGATAATTGATAACCCAAAATGTATATTTTCCCCTTATGGGGATTGGAAGCGGCGATTTTCTGTCTTTATCTAACACACGTGGAACATAGGATTATAGACGTGTTCTATGTCCAACGTACCGATTAATCTAATGAAGCGATAAGAATTCTGAAAACAGATTTGAATTTGTCGTCAAGTCTACTTGAGATCGACTTTCCCACATTTTTGATTTTTTGATTTAAACTTCTCCAAAAGTTGAAATTTGTAAATTTTTTAAGTACTTTTTATAATATATCATTTTTATGATTTTGGTGGGACAATATCAAAAATGTGGGAAAGTCGATCTCAAGTAGACTTGACGAGAAATTCAAATCTGTTTTCAGAATTCTTATCGCTTCATTAGATTAATCGGTACGTTGGACATAGAACACGTCTATAATCCTATGTTCCACGTGTGTTAGATAAAGACAGAAAATCGCCGCTTCCAATCCCCTTATTGCATTTATGCTTCCACTAATTTAGAGAACACATTAATTTTACCATTAACACTCCATTTATTCCTAACAAAAATTCAACCTTTATAATTAAATAAACAAACTATAATTTAGATTTTAGATTTTAGCCTTTTAGCCTTTTTTTACAATTTAATAAAATAAATTATATATATATATTACCTATATAGAAATATGTATAGAAATGTAAAAGATATTATAAGAAAGATACAGGTATTCACTTATCAGTTATCACTAATATAATTTCTCAACAAATCCAATAAAATAAAAAATAATTTTGTTATACGGCGTCCCTTTGAGGACTCAGAATTTGGCGCCCCGGGGCAATAGCCCCCCGTCGCCCCTCCTAAATACGCCACTGGCTATATATAATATTCTAATGTTCTAACTTAAGGCAACTTATTTTAAAGGCCGGGCTACTAGATCAAATCCTATCCCCCCCCCACCCATAACAAAAACCTAAATACGCCACTGGTTTGAACAATACTGCTTCTATGCATATAATAATATATAACTACATACTTCAATACTTGCATAATTAATAAACAAAGAATATACATTATTAATACATTTTCAAACTAATTTTATATCACTATAATAAACTACTGTGCTTCAGCTCGTAAATAGTACCTAAATACAATTACTTCAATACCTGAATACCGCGTATACATAATAATATTAAAATGAAATTGAAAACCTACATAATAATATATATCATTTACATTGTATAAAGTTGAATGTTATATTGATGCCTATATTATGTATATATTATTTTATCAATTATGATTTTTAAATCAATCATTCAATAAAATATGTCATGCTATAATAGTAACATTTATTTATTATTTTTAAATAATAAATATTTGAAATAATAATAAATTAATTTACTAAGGTAATTTACAAAGAAAAATACATAAATGTTGGTAAATATCAAAGATAACAATTAAATTATATAAGCAACGCAATTATGAATAATAGTAGGTAATTAAAATTGTGAAAGGCAAGCAAATTAATAATACAATTAATAAACATATTTTAATAAACTTGGAATAAAAATTTAAGAGACTCGATTCCGAGTTAATTATAGGTACGTATGGTTCTTTGGATTGGGTCATTGCATAAATAATTAGTTTAACGAGTGCTGATTTCAAAAACCTGTTTATTACTGGACTCATCCTAGGTATATAAATTTTTTTTTTTTTTGAGATATATCTGATGAATACATTTTTAATTGTCAATAACTGAATTCAAATTATATAGGGAGTTGCAAGTCTTTGTAATTTATACTATGATTAAACTATAGGCATAGGCGTAAATATTGTTTGCAATCTGGGGGGCTGTATAGCTTAGGTCTATACTTGATACTCTTATATGATGCTTTTAAATTATAGTAGTAAAATCATTAAGTTTTGGGGGGGCTATAGAAATTCTAGGGGGAGGCTAAACCTCCCAGCCCCTGCCCCTATTTGCACCTATGAATAGGTACATCTATCATATTATATACATGATTATTGATTTTAAATAAATTTTATAATTTATTATTATTACTATATCATGTGAATAAAGTATACTGGCACTGAGTGTTTTTTTTAACAGTAAACACTCATTATAAAAAAATAATAATTTTTTGTTCATAACTTTTGAAACCATTACAAAAAAACATTTGGGAAAAAAATCAGCCATCATTCAAACCTAACTAAGTCACATTTAATAAGACTAATCATACCACCAAACTCCCTGCACATGATAGATATTATAGAAAATGTATTGAGTCAAGCTCCTTAAAGTTACTAAAATTAGCCCCTAATTTATTTTTTAACTAGTCATCTCAAAGATTAGGTATGTAAAAATTATATTTTTAAAAAAGGTAAGACTTTTTGAAAAAAACTAGTGTCTGTGATACTTAATTGAATCACTAACACTTAACAGTGAATACTGAATACTGTACCTGTGACACGAGGGCAGAAGTTCATCCAATGGTTGAAAAAATGATTGTTTCATATTTATTACAGCGTCTCGGGCAATTACCCGTTTATAATACACAACTTGTAATAGCAAGAGCATAATAAGTAAGTATAAGCACTTCATATCGATATTCGTAATAAGAAAGTTATATTCATATGAAAAGTAAATTATTCGCAATTCAAATATGCAGATGGTCAGATGGATTTGCTTATAATGATCTTCGAGGGAACCAGATAATCAGATCGTTAAACCCATAGACTTCGTGATAGCCTGTCTTAAAAAATAAAAAAAAACATAGGTTTATGTAGAGAGTAGTGTGCATTGTATAACTACCAACATAGTGGATACAAAAATATCATTATAATATATTTACCTGATCGGACGAAATCCAACATTCCACGAATTCAACTAAAAGAAAATTGGATATTCACCATGATTATATAATTATACCTGCTAAAATATAAAATAGTAATTTATTTGAAAATAATTTTACCGGGAATATCGTTGTATCTGGGCATCCGTCATAGTTATAAGCGAATTTGACTTTATAAAAGTCATAAATGATAAAAATATGTACACAGCGCTTTTAAGTTTTAAGAACTACCTATGTATACGTATGTTATGTCTCCAGTATATTGTTAATGGACTCATACCGAATATCCCTACTTAGGTAGTACAGAGAACTTATAGAATAATATGTTAAATAATTTCTAAACAAAAATAAATTGTTATTGAATTTAAATTTAATTTCTAGCATGAATTATTAGTCCTTCGACCGCCGACCGAGTATAATAACCACAAATTAGCTCTATTCACAAAGTTTAACGCAAAATCTTATTGTTATAAGTAAAATATTCCCCTTGTCGCACATGTATAAGTACCTACGTAATTTATTGCATATTTTACTGTGTGGTAATTATGTAAGAAAATTCATTTTTTTTTTTAAAGGTTTCTCGATTTGCCTCACAATTCAAAATATTATTCTATTGAATTGCCTCCTAAGTCCTATCATATAGTTAGTTGACTCTCTTATAGGTACTAGAATCGTCAGGCACCGATAAACTAATTAATCAATGTTGGTTGTTTTACTGAAATTAATAGACTCAAAATAATAACTATATATATTCATATAATATATAAATGGATGTTTGTCCATCTGTTATAAAAATATTATATTAATGAAAATAAAACCAATTTTCGGCAAGGGCAACGCCGGACGGGAAAGCTATACAATATATTAATATAACAACATAACTAGTTTAAAACCTTGAAAATGTTATCATCTATTCTATAGGAATTTATATGAAATAAAATTTGGTGAAATTTGCAAGAAGGTACCTGCAGCCTGCAGGTACCTACTTATATGGTTAATAGTTTTTGAATTAAAATAAAATCGTTCCATGAGAATTTGTTAATTTACAGGTTTTATTAGATGTCAATAATGTTGAATGTTTAACTTCTAAGTTCAAACGCTCATAAAAAATGTATTTGACTTTCTGGTATATATACTTACTATTTTCTCTTAGAGGAATCTTGTATACATTTTCAAATCTTAGATATAAAAAGAACATTTTTACAAGGCCGCCCGCAGGGGGGGGCCGGGGAGGGCCATGCCCCCCCCCCCGCTAATTTAGATAATACCTAATTTTTATTGTATTTATTTTCATTTTATAGGGCATCGGGTAGTAGGGTCCCCATATGATAAGGCAGTTGTGATAAGGTCAGTTGTGATATGAGTGGTTATACCACGGACTAAGATATACAGGACTGGACACGAGATGAATATTGTGGTTACGAAATGTTTTACAACAGGCGGAGTTCGGGGGGATATTTTCCTTTTAGCATTACTAGCGCCGTCTTAGTGGATACTTATGGAACTAGAAATTTGTATGATGTGTTCTAGTTCTATAAGTATCCACTAGGACGGCGCTAGTAATGCTAAAAGGAAAATATCCCCCCGAACACTGCCTGTTGTAAAACATTTCGTAGTCAACCCCCCCACACCCTCCAACCTTGTCGTGTCCAGTCCTGTATATCTTAGTCCGTGGGTTATACGATGGCTACCATGTGACCAACTTGAGGTGGTGTTATCGTATCAACTCTATGGTCCGTATACAATAAAAATTAAAATTGTGGTTTTAATTTGTAGGCAAGAAGGTTGACAATGAGCAAAAATATAAAATGCTTACATCTCCGTGCATGCCTAGTAGTTCTTATGATTATAAAGCGGATGTTTTTTCTGGTAAAAGACCTTTCTTACTAGCATGGCTTAAGCAATATGATTGGCTTTGTTATTCAACAGTTTTAAAAGGTGCTTTATGTAAATTTTGTGTGCTTTTTGAACCCCCCCTTGATAAAGGTGGTGTGCATGGTGCGTTTATAAAAACGGCATTTAGTAAATACAAAAATTTCCATGAACAGTCTAAATGTCATGTCAAAAGTGCTTGGCATACCTAATCATTCAGTTCAGAGAGCCAATGATTTCATTTCTATTATGAATGGTAAGAAAACTGATGTACTTATATCAAATGGTAAACTCTTCAGTAAGGAAAACAATTGAATCGAATAAAGATAAATTAAAATCAATTGTTTCATCAGTTATATTTCTTGGAAAACATGGGTTACCTTTTAGAGGGACAAATGATGATACAGCTGTATTTAACAATTTATTAAACTTTAGAGTTGAAAGTGGTGATGTAAAATTGGAAAATCATCTTAAAAAAGGCCCAAAAATGCAACATACATATCTCATAGAATGCAAAACACTATAATTTCTAATTTAGGTTCTGTTATGTCCAATATAATTTTAAAACGAGTTAAGAATGCTGAATGTTACTCAGTAATTATTTTTTTTAATTTTTTATTATACAGGCTTATTTATAATAACAACATAATAATATAATATTATACATATATATATATATATATGTAATGTATATACTTACTATATTATAATAATTTTTTTTTACGATATGATACAAAAAACAGAATTTATGGTAAGTGTATTATTGTTTCGCTGGCCCCCCCCCCCCGAGAAAAATTTCTGCGGGCGGCCTTGCATTTTTATGAATTTCTAACTACAAAATAATTTTTAAATTATATTTACCGCGATTTTTGCCAACATTTTAATTTTAGACGCTCATAAAAATTATTGGTTTTACGTTCAACTTTTTTTTTAATATTCACTTACAATAACTTATAATGAACCTTGCATTCAATTTTCACTGACCGAGTAAAATAATTTATTATCGACACTTAAAGAAACAAAAACAAAAAAAAAATGTTATAATGACGTACAGAAAATGCTAAAATCTAAAATTACTTAACAGTAAAGACAAATACGCCTCGTAGAATAGTTGGATTTTTTTATTTGAAATAAAATAAGAGGAAAACTTTGTTTACATTGCTTGGATTCTGATTTTTTTTTATAACTTTAAATACCTAAATAAAGAAAAATACCAAAATATGTGTGACGAAGAGACGTTTTTTAATACTTCTAAAAGTAAAGATTTTAACCCGTAGTCTATTTCGACTTGTTTAAAGTCTTCAAATTTAAAATAAAATTAAAATGATCGAAATCTGTCTATTTGACTATAATTGAATACTAGATAGAGTGTTTCCTGTGAGACATGTTTTTGTGCTAAAAACGGGTCAGCTCGGACTCTCGTATACCGAGTCGGACTGGCCCGGACCGCTAGTCCGCAATTGGGGACGGGGCCCTGGCTTAATTATGATAATTGGAGGCCCCTGATTTTGTACCTATTAATATTATTGTTATTCGTTTAGAGTAAATAGAAATACGAAATAAACATTTTTTTTTTTTCAAATCAGGAAACGTATTTTTGTTTACAATCTTAAGACGTTCTTAATGAATATTAAAATAATGAAATATGAAAGGAAAAAATTTAAATAATGACCTTATATCATTATCATTCTACGAATTTAATAGCTGTCTAGTGTCTATATACAAATATATATCATTGATTATAAATAGTGTAAAATTGTTGTGACTATTTAATAATATTATATTATATTTATACGGGCGTATGACTGTAAGAGTATGACTTGGTAACACAGATATATATAATAATATATTGGGGGGACGAGGTGGCCGAGCGGTCTAACGCGTCGACTGCGGCGCTGGCAGTCGCGGGTTCGCCTCTCGACCACTGGGCGGCATTTTTCTCCGGGCAAGTCACGGTGTCCGGAGTACAAGTGCCGCCATCCCCCAACCCGGGGCATGGCAGAAACCTATGGGTGCCCCAATAAAAATTCTGCCACCACAAAACACACACGTGTACCAACCTACCCAATCTAAAAACCTACAGTTCCCTACCAACACCCAATGGCCTATGTTGCCGCGGGTTATCCAATAAAAAAAAAAAAAAAAAAAAATAATATATTGCTTGGTAATTGATATTATTTCGCATTATCGCTGATTTTAACTGAATTATTATTTTGGATAAGTATTGTGTCTTGCACAATTTGACAAAATTTGAATTGGTGTTTTCCTTTATAATGTTTGATGTCACAGAACATGGTGTAGCCAGTATAAGGGCTACGCCCCAGTGGCTTAGTTTGGGGGGTTGGGTAGGAGGGATTTCCCCTGTCTGATAATAAAAACAGTCCGATGGGTCTCTTGTACTCAATTTTCTTAGGACCTGCAGAAAAAGTCTTAGTATTTGAGAATATGCTCAATATAAATTCTATATTGAAAATATAGTAAAACCGGTTGATATATCGAATGATTGAAATTTAGTTAGGTACGTATATTTAGTTATTTGTGCCTATATGGCTGTATGATAATTAATATGAAAGATGGCAGTTGTATTGAAAAAAGAATGTTCTATGTAACTATTTACCAGATACATGAAAAGTGGATTGCGATCGAAGCGAGTTTTTTTTCTGGGCTAATCAAAACATTCGCCATGTTGGGGGCCCTTTTTTTCCAAATCGCGGACTGGGCTTTTTCGAGCCAGTCCGACACTACTCATATAGTCTCATAATATCTATGATGTACCTTCCTGACTACCTAACTAGTCAGTAGTCACTGTATAATTGTACCTATATAGTATATATTTTAAATCGTGATTGTAGGATTGTGAGTTGTGAATAAAAAATAAAATATTTCATTGGAATTATATAGTGTAGCATTAAATGTCGACAGTTGTCACATATTCGCAAATAGTGTTCGTGATAGGGGGAGGGGAATATAGGGATATACAATAGTTAAGAGGGCTTAGCGGCTTAGCCCCTCCTATATTTGCGCCTATGCCAGTTTGAGTGGGCGTCGTTGAAAACCGCACACTTTTATACCTTAACCCCGCATATTTTCCCCAAATCAAACAGTTCAATACCGCACATATTGATATATAATATCAATAACGTATACATTTATCTAAAATAACATTATCGTTTAGTACCGCACACCAGTTAATCATATTTAGTCAAGATCAATAAAAATCATAAAAATAAAACTTTGTGACCAGAGTTACCATAGTCAACTTAGGTCTTAGACATGAATTCTATATTTCTATGTTCCACATCGCGTACTATATTTCATTCGGTAAGAACATGAATTTAAAATAATAAACATATTTTGAGTTTTATTATTAATTTATTTTTGTTTATTTTTTTTTTTTAGATAGATGTGTTAAAACCACAACAGATAATTACTTAAACCAAATCGAAATCAAAATATAATATAAATATGATTTTACTCCTCTGTGTTGAACAACCTTGTTGAAGAGCTTATTTCTTCCATCTCTCTAAAATCATTAAATTCTACAATTAATTAACAAACTATTTATACAATATACATAATTATAAGTTATAACACTGTAATAAATATAATATACAATTTATTATAATATTTTTGAGGGGGACGAGGTGGCCGAGCGGTCTAACGCGTCGACTGCGGCGCTGGCAGTCGCGGGTTCGACTCTCGACCACTGGGTGGCATTTTTCTCCGGGCAAGTCACGGTGTCCGGAGTACAAATTCCGCCATCCCCCACCCCGGGGCATGGCAGAAACCTACGGGTGCCCCAATCAAAATTCTGCCACCACAAACACACTCGTGTACCAACCTACCCAATCTAAAAACCTACAGTTCCCTCCACACACCCAATGGCCTATGTTGCCGCGGGTTATCCAATAAAAAAAAAAAAAAAAAAAAAATATTTTTGAAAATTGTATCTTTACCTTGTAATGAAGCAAAATGATGAGAAGTTATTTCTAACTGAGGATTATTTTTCTCAATTCCAGTAAAATGGGTGACTTTTATATGTCGAGCTAAATTATATTTTGTTTTTAATTGGATGCTGAAGTATGCACATTCAAAATACATAATTAAAAAATATATCAAAGAACAATGTGTTAAAATATTTAAAAATATAAAATCCAAAAAAACAATTTACTATAATATTTAAGAAACAATATTCATGCTACAAGGTGTTCATATAGAAAGTGTTACATTAACAAGTAAGAAAATTTCCACAGGAAATAAAAATTAATACAGATAACAGTTGAAAAGGGTTTTACCTGTATTAAATAAATGCTGGGTATATTACAGTACATAAGTATTTTAGGTAATAATAGAGAAAATATACAAAAATGAAATAAATAAATTTCTTTCATATAGATTTTGTTTAAATGGATAAGTATAAAAATTGGAAATTGTTAATGAATGGCTTAATAAAAATTATATTCATCTATTAGGAACAATACCATGATTTTAATGTATTTTAAAAGCTTTAGAATACAAAAATATTTTTAATCAAATTAAATAATATATGAACAAGTATATTATTGAATTATTATTATTATTGAACATAATTTTTAATAATCGTTTTATTGTGTAAATACAATATATTTTACATTTTACAAATAATTTGAATTTAATTTGGCGCTCACTGATAACGTATTGACCATATAAACGGTATTAAACTTTGTGACCGTGATAATGATCGGTTATGTGATAATGGTTTTGTGATAAGATAATATCCACCACGGACTAAGATATACAGGACTGGACACGACAAGGTTGGAGGGTGTGGGGGGGTTGACTACGAAATGTTTTACAACAGGCAGTGTTCGGGGGGATATTTTCCTTTTAGCATTACTAGCGCCGTCCTAGTGGATACTTATGGAACTAGAACACATCATACAAATTTCTAGTTCCATAAGTATCCACTAAGACGGCGCTAGTAATGCTAAAAGGAAAATATCCCCCCGAACTCCGCCTGTTGTAAAACATTTCGTAACCACAATATTCATCTCGTGTCCAGTCCTGTATATCTTAGTCCGTGATATCCACCTTGCTGCTCCGAGAGGGCTTCATAGAGTATATAATATAGAGTCTAGAGTCTAGACGATCGTGTTGCACATCGACTACTGATAAGGTGAAATACGAAATGACTTCCAATAATTAACCAGTGGCGCTCCAAGCGGCAGTATTACAATTAACCGATTATAGATGTAAAATTAGTTCTACACATGTCGACACATAATATGGTTGAGTAATGAGTAATGACTAATGAGTGCATATTAGTCCGTGGTTGAGATGTTGAGTGTTGACATCAAGCGCTAGTAGTTAATTATTAACAGCTGTTTTATATCGTCATTCGTGACTTTGTAAATCAATCTGAAAGCCGTTTATTATAGGGCGATGTGCAACGTGTATTTCTTTAATCGTGCCGCACACATCCCGTGATTGTAGTACATAATATTTTAATAATAATCATTTTCCGTCGGTTATGCGGTAACACTGTAATGTCCGAAGGTTTTCGATAACGAGTTGATAAATTTTTCCCGTGAAACGAATAACGATATACATTATACAATAATAATACATAATATAACATAGTTTGTAGGCACCTACATATTATTATTATTTTGTATTTTGATATTATAGACTTTAAAGTGGTTGAAGTATTGTGAATTTTCGATTAACCGACGCGCCGTTCGATCGGTTCGGATGTGTCGCCGTCCATCAGACGTTTCAAGACTGCTTGAAGCTACGTAGCTTGCCAAATCGTGTACATAATATTAAAATTACTTGCAAAACTCCTATTTTGAGTGTTCAACAACAAATCTTCCCATTTGTTTTGTTTTGCTTTATTGTTTTATTATTTTTATTAATCATTTACACAGTTATACATACTGTTCTAATGTTACCAAAATCTGTCGGTGACGTTTCGAAATGGACGAAATATCGTTGCTGAAGAAACGCACTTCAGCTGAAGCTCTGCACAACATGACTCGCAATGAGGACCCCAACCCACCGACGTCCAAACTAAAACGATCTTTCTCACTTAAGCGTGACCTAATACGCAACAAACACGTGAAACCTGGCGATGTAGAGGATGCTAGACTAAAGTTGTCGATGCTGAGGAAACCGTCATCATGGAACAAGGTACTTGGGAAAATGTTGCAGAAAATGTCATACCTAGGCTTACAACAAGACAAGAGCAATCTATGTTCCAAGTATGATGCTTATGTCTCACGCTCGTCAACAGACATCTACAACGATAACACCTATCAAACTCCAAAAATTTTAAGCGGTGACAAAGTTCCGGGTGTGGTTGGTCTACGTAACCAAGGAAATACATGTTTCATAAATGCTGTATTACAGTGCTTAAGTCATACAGATGTTCTAGCCAGGTAATGACATATTTGAAATATATTTATTATCTAAATTAAAATTTTAACAGGGTTTTCTAAATTTAGGTTCTAAGTTATAAATATAGCATAAACAAAAGTTATGTATAAAATAAATAAATGGTTAAATAAACATATTTCAATAGGTAATTAGGTAATATAAAGTTAACCTATTTGATAATTGTATTGATTTCAAAAATAATTCCTAAACTTAACATGTTACCTATTCACATTTTAAAAGTAATGTTGTCATTTCTTAGTAACTTAAACATAGTTTTATAAAGAATTTGTTATTCTACCAATATTTTAAATACCTAGCTATTTTTCAAAAAAATAAAATTTATAAAAAGTAGGTACCTACCCATGTAGTGATGTATTTAATCAATACTCAATATATTCTCTGTCAATGTTTTTTGTGCCTATTTGAAAGTACCTTATAGATATTTTAATACACTAAATTCAGTACCTATGTGGCTATGTAGGTTCGAGTATATTATATAATATATTATGTTTACAATAGTATATTCTTAATGATATTGTGTTGAAAATTGAAATCATTTTTTTAATCCAAATAAATTAGATTTGTCCTTTTCCAACCCAACTATCTTGATCCCCCCTCCCTTCACCATAAAGTCAATGCTGTTGCCTATTAGGAACAATGTGTACATACCTACTTTGTTACACACGTGTGCACACGCCACACAATTGCTAAATGTCTTATTACAAATTAAAATAAAACAATGGTATGATTCAGTATAATGATTTACTTATTTCAATAAACCATTAAAAAATAATAGGTTGAGATTGCTAAAGTTCTAAATTTATAATATTATTTTATAGACTAGAATAATTAATTAGTATCAAAGTAGCATGTTTAGAAACATTTCTAAAATTCCACTTTGGATTTAATATTATAAAAATAATACCTATAAGTACCTGCTGTCTACTTATGTTTGAATTTAACTGTGGACAAGTCTAGTTATTACATAGTTTTTTATACAATAACTAATAATAATTTATCATAGACGTCATATAAATGCTATTAACAGAAAGTGCCAAAATAACTACTTAGAACATGTTTATTCATTGTAAAACGTATACTATCATATACAATTAATACTCTTATAGCGTCTTATAGGTACTTAATAAATATTTAAAAGAAATTTGAGATTTTATTGGGCCTATTTACATTTTTTGAAGTAGGATAGTTAAATATGGGTACCTATTAGGTACCTATTAGGTAATTATTTGTTTTTTATGATTTCCTTCATTGAGCATATATTACATGTAATTCACAATGTTTATTAATTCTAGCAATAACTATTCTAATCTTTGATAATTCCTTGTTGCATTACTGAAATTTTTTAGTCCTCCACTTGCCCCACCTTACCATATTTCATACTTTACAATGATTTCTAAAAATATCCACAGCTATGATATTCAAATTTCATTCAGCCCTACTAAAAATTAGATTTGTCTTAGAAAAAAGTTGGCGTCTCCTCTGAACGTAGCAGAGTGGACACACTTGCTATCGTCCTGCATTATTATAGTGTAAAATTATTCTCATGATTGTTTGTTATCGGAGTAATGACTAGAAATTTAATTTTTCACGCATATAATACATGCTTAACTGCTTAAGTTCTTAAATAATTATCACATAGATGAACATCTTATCTTATCTTTTAACGTTAAATTTAATTATTATGAAGATTTTATTTTATTATGTTGGTACCTAATGAAATTTTTTAAAATTTAATAAATTGATTTTAAATTACCAAAGAAAAAAAAAATTTAATTTTGTGATTATTATTTTACTGTAGATATTTTGTTATGGATCAATACAAAATGGACCTTACTCGAAGAAATAAGTTGAACTCAAAAAAATATGGTACACGCGGAGAGATGACTGAACAGCTGGCATTATTATTGAAATCTATATGGCTATGCAAATATGACCCAGACATGTCAAATCAATTTAAAACAATTGTAGACAAATATGGTACCCAATATCGAGGAAATAATCAGCATGACGCACAAGAATTCTTATTATGGCTTTTGGATAAGGTTCATGAAGATTTAAACATAGCTACAAAAAAAAAATATAAAACAATTAGAGTAAGATGTTTAATTAATTATTGTTTTTATCTATTATATTACTTATCATTATTAATTTTCTCAGAACACATTTGGGAGGCCTGATGAGCAAGTAGCAGCTGAGACACTTGCTAATCATATACGTTGCAATGAGTCCTTTATACATGATGTATTTCAAGCCCAATTTAAATCCTCACTTACATGTCCGCGCTGCATGCGTCAATCCAATACATTCGATCCCTTTTTGTGTATATCAATACCAGTACCACAATGTTATTCAATGCCCGTTTTTATAACTGTTATTTATACTTCCCAACAACCAAGAGATGTAAGTTAAAATCTACTTGTTTAGTAGTAGCTTTTTATTATTTTTATAATTCTTACTTTTTAAAGTTTATAAAGATGTTTAAAATTATACTATTTTTATTTTTTTATAAATATTCACTTAATCTTCTTATATCTAAATAAACATTTGATTTTAAAATATTGATCACTATTATTCATATTTAAATAAAATACAGATTATTTTTCTTGTATATTTTTGTTTATTTATAAATACTCAATATTAGATAAATTGATTGTTTGCTATAAGGGATTTATCACTTTAAAAAAAAAAGACCTAGAAAGTTTTAACATTAAGAAATATTTTCAAGTTTAAAATGGATAATATTCTCTTAATTATCCGTCATCACTCATCACATTGTTCACACAAAATATAAACTATCAAGTTATAAATAAATAATAATAATATATATTTTCTATTAGTGAAAATTCATATTATTGTAATTGATAAAATTATTTTTTATACAGGTTAAACTTGGATTGTCTCTTCCAGTTGATAGTAGTATAGCTGAATTTCGAGAGTTATTATGGTCTTATACTGGTATATATCAAGAGCATATGTTAATTACTGAAATAACTGATATCGGTTTTAATCGAACATTTTGTGGTAATTATTCTTTATTTATTTCAATAAATATTTATTTAGTATAATAAACACAAATTTAAATTATACTTTTCAGATTCTATGCCAGCATCTATGATAAAAGAATCAGATCCCTTATACTGTTTAGAACTCCCAAAATTGAATGACTGCAGTAACGAGAGTGGACCTTACTTATTACTGTGTTGGGTTAATATTCTTGTTGTTGAAGATCAATGTTCAAGGTTGTTTGTCTTAGTCATTGCTATGTATATTCATTGTGTAAGTATTTTTGTTTCTGTATATCAGATTTGGAAGTGCTTATACCATGCAAATATGTCGTGAAACATCCTATAAGGACCTTCAAAAACTTTTATTGAAAGAAATGGCAGTGATGTTACATGATGATATATTAACAACTGATCAAGAAATACCATTATTTGGTATACGATTGGCTGATGCAAGTGATTTACCTCAATATTTAGATCCAACAGTTGAATTACCTCTTTTTACCGATCCAATTGATCAAGCATTAGCTATGTCTGGAGATCAACCTCATGTAAAATTAATTCTTGAGTGGAATCTCCATGCTAAGGAAGCGTAAGTATACAAACAAGTATAATTATTCGGAGAAGAAGAGGTTACTAATAATAATTATTTATAATATTTTTAGAACGATTGCCGATCATTGTGATCAAGTTGAAGAGCATGCCAGTGTAAAACAGCTTAAATTAAATTCTGAAAAGGGAACATCTATTACGCTTGAACAGTGTTTTGATGTAAGTTGTACATTTATTTCGTTTTGAACTTAAATAGTTATAAAAACAAATTATCATAATTTATTTTACATTTAATAATATTTATATAAAATAAATAACAGGCATATTAAAACAATTTTTAAATTTTAAATTATATTCAAGCATTATAAGATATATTAGTTAATTAATTATTTGTATTGAGTTATGTAACATTATAATATTTGCTTTCAACATTTTAGCTGTATACAAAAGAAGAGGTATTAGGACCAGAAAATGCTTGGCATTGTCCACAATGTAATCTTAAACAAGAAGTTGTGAAGAAACTTGGCTTATGGACTTTACCTGATATTCTGGTGGTTCACCTAAAACGGTTTAGACAATCTCTTTCACTACCGTCATCTCGACAGCACAATAACAGGTATTTGATGATAATATAAAATATTAAAATAATAATGAACTATTACATTTCATTATTTGTAGGTATATTTACTTAGTATAATTATTTTTATTTTCAGGCAACCAACAAAACTTTCAGTACTTGTAGATTTCCCTTTGTTTAGTTTTGATATGACCCCACATTTAGCTATAGGTCGGGATGTTAGGGTACCACTGAAGCCTCTAGCTTCTCGTCGATTATCTTCTATACAGGATCGTAACCTATATGATCTTTATGCTGTATGCAATCATCATGGATCAGATCCTCATAGTGGACATTATACTGGTTAATATACATTGATTATGGTTAACTTATAACAGTAAAATACATAACTTTTATTTTTTTAGCATTTTGCAAAAATCCATATGATAAACAATGGTACAGTTTTGATGATACTAAAGTTACACCAATACCTGATACTTCTCTGGTCACGACATCAGCATACATGTTGTTTTACCAACGGCGAGATATGATTCTCAATAATTCTGACCATTGGGCCACACGGTTACATGCACACATATCAAATAGCCATTCGGTTGGACAAATAGTTGATAATATAGGTAATTTATAAACTAATTAAAACAGGATTTTCATTAATGGTTTCTACTTTCTATTAAACACTAATGAAAATAAAAATTGTATATTTTTTGTAATCTATTATACAAGATGGTTCATTAAGTATGCTCACCCCTATTTTTCTTTTATTCATGAAATTATTCTAGGTCTGGTTTTTGGATTTTTTAAATTGAGATGTTTTATGATATTTCAGGTTATTTAAGAACTATTGGGTGATATAAACTTCTTTTTCTAATAAAACTAATGATTAAATTTTTATTTATGTAAAACTATTATGCAGGACCATTTGACTAATGGTACAATATAGTTTAATAACTTAGAAACTAGTCATTTAAATTAAGATGTATCTTTTTCAAAAAAAAAAAACCTGCTTTACTATTAAATGCAAAAATAGTGGTTCTTATTTGAACATTAAAAGTTAGTATCAGTTAACACTTATTAAATTATATTAAACATCTGTTTCATATCGGATCTTTTAATATATTAATAAATATCAAAAATCGGAATTTGAATAATATAGTAAACTCTTGATTATCCACTGAATAGGATGGTACAGCAAGTGGCAACCACAGATAAGTGAATTCTGCGGTTAAACCTATAATTGTATCATATGATATTAAACAGAATTTAAAGAAAATTAGATACCTGTGTACATGTTTTATTTTTATTTAAATATTAATTAATTATACATAAAATTAACATTTATTTTTTCACAAAAATACATAATATATTGTACATAAAGTATAAACACAATTTTTAGTATTGTAGATAGTTCCTCGGAAGACCACAGATATTCGAGAATTTACTGTAAATGTATTATTAAAAAATATTAAGAGTGAGCAGGGAGATGAGCATGGTTACTGTTTGGTGTAACATTTAGTATTGATGACAATTTATTTTAATTTTACATGTATGTAAATTTTAATTAAAAATATAGTGACACATTGAATTTTGTAGTCAATGATAATACAGCAATAAATAATTAAAAACTTTTAATATTTTAAAAGCCTATTAAAAAAAAATATAATATTTAGAATGCATTGCTAATAAATGTATAATAATAAATATAGCATTTGTTGCTTATAAAACTCGCCGTTAACTGACTTAATTGCCTATTGAACTCATTCTACACAATAAAAAAAAAATGTCTGTTGGACTCACTACACTGGTTAATTGGGTTAATTGGATAAATAACTAAACTTTAGGTAAATTTTTGAAGATTTAAATTTTTTTGCTTTTTATCATAAATACATAATATGTTACTAGAATTTACTAATTAGTGATTATAATGAAAAATACATGATAAATAAATAATAATGAATATTTTATAAGCATAATATGCTCTAATATTTTATTTTACTTATAAATCTTTTTGCTATCTAATATCTACATATACATAACCTTATTGATCCTTTCTGTTTATACACTCAATGGCTCTAATCCCAAAGTGAGTCTAATAAGAGCAAACTACATCTAAACTTTTTTTATTATTAAGGCTTTAACTACATGGTTATTAGTTGTTTTTTACTGTAGTGTGGGGGGGGGGGGTTAGGGTTAAGTTATTTTGGAACATTTTTATAAGGGGCGAGTGTTTGTTACTAAATACCCGGGTGCATGTGACGCTAGCCAATGCTTGACCTCAGAATACGTTAATGACTGCGGCCAACCACCGTTCCACACCAGGCCCCGACTTCAATACTTATTAATTATAAATTATATTTTAATTAAATTTTCCATTATTTTTTTTAAGAGCACAATAACGATGATATTGCAGAGTTAAGTGATTCACCATCAAGTCATACCATTTCCAGGTCATCGACAGTTGAAAATGATATGGTGTTTTCGAGACCAGTAAATATATTAATGTTTTTAATCTTTCAGTTATTAAAAATAATTGATTGTTTTTTTCTATTTAGAGTTCACCTATGGTAAATGGTAGAAGGCCGTCTGATCTTTCTCTTGATGATACCGAAAAAAATTTCAAGAAACTTTTACATAATGCTAAAGAATCGTGTATTTAAAATTTTTAGTTATTATCATTGTTTTAAGGTTGTTATTTTGAAGGATTTTAAATTGCTTACCATTGAAGAATTATTAATTGTTTTTATAATATTTAAGTTAGGTACACATAAACAATTACAATAACATTTTGGCAAAAAGTAATTAATTTGCTCATTAAAAGGAACATTCCTCATACATTTTTACAGTTTCCATACATTAATATGGAGAAACAAAATTTGTACTTACTACAGTTTTCTGATTTTTATACTTTATTCTGAATAAATTGAAAATCTTGAATATGAATAATATGATATTGAAAATGTTTCAATATATGCTCAACAATATGTCCCTCAAAAAATGTTGATAATAAATATTTTAGAAAATAAAGTCTGTTTTTTAATTTTTAAAGGAAAATACTGGAAAACCAATATTTGGTGTTTTTGTCTGTCACTCTGTCAAATGTGTCTAATGTTGTAAAAACCTAAGAACTTCCTTTAATAGGAAATGTGAGTATTACTGTTATTTTTACTTTCTCATTTTATTACTACCAATTAAGTATAGTACTTAATATTATTTAATATTCTAATAAATAATTATTTAATGTTGTTGATCAACCAAAAATGTTTAAAAAACACTGATTAAAGTAAATTGATATTTTTTTCTTTACAACTAATAGATTAGGGAAATATAGTTGAAAATAATATAATATTTTATATGCAATAGTCAAAAGTGATGAAATAATAATGAAATAAATAATTAATGATACATCTGAATTTTTTTTAATATTATGATTTGTTAATGAATGATTCTATAATATAATAGGACATTTTGACAGATTTAATACAAGTAAACACGGAAAAACTAATAAATTATTAGTTAAATAAATTAGTCTCATTACTGTCTGTATAGTATAGACTCTATACTATAGAGTACTAATTGATTGTTTTTACCCTCGTAGTGTACCTTCTTTTGGTGGCCTATCCTTGACATTATGTGAATATGGTTTGACGATTGAAATGCATTGAGGGATTGCTAGCTGGAAATTTTTAAGGAGTTCAATATAGGCATTTTTCTAAGCACGTACAAGCGGGTCTCAATGTGTGTGTAGTGATGGTTAATGTCATTTCAATTTGTAAAACGGAACTAAGTCACCATCGCTGCGTCACGTTCTTGAACGATAAATAATGAAGGCATGTAGTATTTGTCGATCCTACTGTTATAAATTATAATAAATGAGACTTCTGGAAAGTGATTTGAATTCGTTAATAATATATTATGTGTACTTGATCGATCAGGCCACATTTTAGATTTTTAATTTCAATTTTGAATAATCATTTAAAGTCTCATAAATATTAAATCCAAATTTATAAGAGTTGGATAACGAAGTTTTAAAAAGTGACTCGATCGCGAATCGAACCCACTTAAGCAGACATGATAAAAATTCATATCAGTTTTCAAATGTATAATAACATTACTAGGCTCAAGTGCCCCTCCGGACTGCTGGAAAATATCCCGTCTCGTCCTGTTGCTCAAAGGTCCCGACAAGCCCGTGGAAGCACCGTCCAGCTAAAGACCAATCTGCATGTTGGACACCCCAGGTAAGCTACTGGAGCGGCTCCTCCTCCAAAGGCTCGAGGACCACCTCGACGCCCACGGAGTACGGATAAGAGCCCCAAACCAGTACGGCTTCAGGAAGGCCGTTAGCACAGAGTCTGCAATCGCAAAAGTCCTTGGGCTAGCCGCCCAGGCTGACACCGGACGCGAACAAAAAGATCTGTGCATCCTTTTGACGCTGGATGTAAAAAATGCATTTAATACCCTGAGGTGGCCCGTTATCGACAAGACACTGAGGTCGAAGAACCCCCCTTGAGTACCTGGTCTAAATGCTGTGGTTATGGCTTTCAGATAGAACACTGCTGACAGGGGAAGAGATGACCTCCAGACCCGTGACATGTGGTGTCCCGCAGGGGTCGGTCCTTGGTCCTGACCTATGGAACGTGTCTAAATTTAGCAATTCAGAAATGCACTTAAGAGTTAAAAATTAAAATTAATTATTCTTGATTTCAAATAAAAATGTTTTTAAATTTAATAGAGCATTGTTGGTAAAGATTAAAAAGTAAATACTTAAGTAACATTTTTTTTTACGTGTTATTAATATAATAATGTATAATACTATAATTTATTTGCGTTTTCGTTTTCGTTTTTGATTTCGTAATTAATTTTTTTTCTGTTTTTGGGATTTTTTGTTATGGTTTTTTGTTTTTGTTTTATTCATTGTTTTCGTTTTTTTTTCCATCCCTTGTTTAAATTATTTATTTTATTTTATCACTGTGGTGTTATCATTGTGAATCTTACCTTTACATATTTTCTGACGCTGGGAATTTATAAAGTTGACGGAGTGATTGTTTACAAAAATACAGTACAAATCAATTGTAAAGCGAATTGCCTCTGTTACATGTTATAATTATCAGTGATAAATAATAATATTGTTTATGGCTGGTGGAATCAATAATCACGATAAAGAAAAATTGCAAAAAAAAAATAAAATAATAACTACCAAGTCAATATTGAAAACACAAACACATATCAAAAGTAGACAAAACGTGTAGGTATTACCAATATGTAAAAAAATAAAGAACCTTGGGGGGGGGGATCTATCCCCCATATCCCCCCCCCGTGAGAACGCCCATGCTGGCAAACATACTTACCAGCTTCCGCTGAGGTAAGTCTGCTAGGTCGCGGGGGTTTAGGCTCGATGCCGTTGAGGTTTTTTGTTGTTGTTCATGTTTTTTTCTTTTATGTCAATAAACGATGGTGGCCGGAGGAGAAGTAATGCTAACGCGTTTCCTCCTCCGTCCCTCGATTAACTCAGAAAAAAAAAGGCCCAAGTGCCCAACGACTATGGGTATGATTGACAAATAATTGTTACATATGGTTGAAATAACACACATACCGCCATTGTAAACCCCTTAAAATATTATAATCAATATAATCAATTGCTAAAATAAAAAATAATAAGAGTGTAGAACGTAAGTACAATTTTCTTCATAATGTTTAAAAATGTGGATATTATGTTTGTGATTCTTTTTTATTATTATTATTATAATTTTTTGGAAATATCAATTTTTAGTATCCAACAATTTACAGAAACGTTTAAAACTGCTCTTCAAAATGGATTTGTTTCCTCCATCATTATTCGAGGGCTCTAAAGAAAAAAAAACTTGAATTATAATTTCGTTTGTTTATAGAAGGTACTATTTTCAATCCTTAGCTATAAAAATTTAACACTAATTTTGTCACTACAAAATAATTTGAAAATTTTCGAGATTTATGCCTATGGATCTTAAATATTTCTCAACTGCTATTATAAACTTGAATTATATTTTCAAACTTTTTGACCCAACAAATACATTTATAAAATTTATTGACATTCATAAAATTACAAAACTAAAAATTTGAAAATTTAACATTTTTATAAATAACTAAAAACGAGTTAATATATTTAGAAGATTTCTTATTTATAGAAAATTTCAATGAATTACGCTTAATAGTTTTTGAATAACAACAAAATAAGAAATTCGATGCATGAGAATTTGATAATTTACGGGTAAATTTCCAATGTCTAACTTCAAACTAATGCTTGTAAAAATTTAATTTGACTTTCAGGTACCCTTTTTTTTGTTAGGTATATGTATAAAATTTTAGGAGACTTTTGTATAAAAATAACAAATGTTAGATATAAATAGAACAATTTTTATGAATTTCTAACTTGAAATAATGTGACAATTTTCCTGGTTTGATGAATTTTGTGAAAATTTTAAATCACACAAAAAAAAAATGATTGAAGATTACGATAAAATTTTTTTTTTAATTTCCACTAACAATAATTTATGTGAAACGTTGTATTACATTTTCAATGTTTTGACCGACCAAACATTTTTTATCTACAATAATTAAAAAAAAAAAAAATTAATAAAATGCTAAATGTTTTTATGCCTATAAATACCTCAAAAAGAGTTTCAATATTTCGAAAATTGTATGGTGCATAGAAATTGCTAATTATATTAACATAAACATTCAGTGAAAATGTCGTGTATCTACGGTTTGGTACCTATTTTATTAGTAGCTAGAGTTGCAAAAAAAAACAAAATCTCAATTTTTCCTTAATTTTTTGTTTGTTTTTTTCTGACGCTATTGAGAATTACAAAACTATTGAGAATTTTCTACTTCTGGGTTTGACTAACATGGGATAGAGTACCGAGTCCCCCTAGTTTTAAATAATATATTTTACCATCTGTGTCAGTTTTGACGGAACACCATTGGTTTAAGAACTCTAACACGACACCATTTGTCCAACCGAAACCAGTCTGTGGAATATATTCACCACCGCCACCAGTTTCTCCCGGAAGTTCGACATGATACTATTAAAACAATACATTTTGACAACACAACATATTTTCAAAAAAATTATACTATTATAATTATTTAACAGATAAGGTACGTAGATAACAATAATGTTTTGAGAGTAATTCTTACTTTTTCATACATCGTCGATTTCTCTGCAAATCCTTTATAATTAGTGCTCAACCAGACCTCGGCCATTTTCGCGGCTACCTGTTGTGCGCAGCTTTCTTCTGTCCTGTCCAGACCTTGAATAATATATGTTTGCAGAGGAGGCCAAGCATTTGGATAATCCCATTGTTGTGACGATACGTGCATTGACGTAGGTGTACCTTTAGGGAGAAATTATGAAATTATTAGGTAATAATTTCATAATTTAGGTAGGTACCTACCTATTTCGCTTAGTAACTTCTGTACAATGTGCACAAAAACTCATTTCGATTTAAATTTCAAAAATTAAACAATCGTTAGGTAGGTAAAAATATAAGGGCCACAATTGAATATTACCAAATATTTAATATATACCTAGCCAAACCTAATAATATTAGTAAGTATAAATTTAAATTGTGTTACAGTTTTGTACCATGAAAACTTATGCTGAAATCTGGTTCGATAATTCTTTCATCCCTTAAATATCTTAATACATCATTGGCCACCGACTTTTTTGGCATGTTATAACTTTCTGTCCACAAAGGCGCGATATTGGATACAAAAAAACATTCTCGATGTTTATGATTCATTAAATCCCAGTCAAACCACGCACCTCTGTCCGATCTCCACATGACCTGCAGTAGAAGTTTGGTTTTTGAAGATTATAATAAGTTTGGTTCGTGAAGATAATAATAAATTATTGATTTATATAGATAGAAAAATACTTTCGCTTTAACAGTTACTAACTTCTTGTATGCCATTAAGAAATTCTTGTGCGACCTTACAATATTTATTGGATTTGTATTTATTTCCTATCTTGCCAAACCATGTACTCAATATGCGTGCATTTTGGTTTAGTATACTGTTTAATTCGACTGGTACAATACTTGGCACATGTACATTCGATAGTTGATCTGTGTTTTTTTTTTAAATCATATTTTTTATATTAGTGATTTCAAACATTTGATATTCATATTATATGAGACGCGAGTGCTAACTTGGTTCGGAATCTTGGTCAGTAGTTATAAACCATCTACTCGAATAGTCCCATCCAGATTCGGCGCCAGACTTAAGCCTAGTATACATGTCATCTTTCTCATTTTCAGTTTCAAACTTTTCAGCAACTTCGTAGTCCTCTCTATATATCGATATAAATAGGTACCTATTTATAGTAATCTTTGTCACCACCAATATGTCATGTTATACAAACCTATATGACTCCGGTCTTGGTCCCCTAGATGGTGCGTTATATCTGGCCATTCTATACGATTTACCGTCTTTCTCGAAAGTCACCATCCGATTTCCCGTCCAAAAATGGAATTCGCTCTCCAAGTCCTAAGACGATTATTGTTGTGTATAACATAATTATAGGTGTACAGTTATTGTCTTTTACAAATCGTATATTTTAATATTTATATGGATATATTATTAATATTTGCAGAACTTACTGGAAGGATTTTTTTAATATAATCAAAGTCGTTGGTTTCTTTATAGTAACTCAATGCCATCAATATGAGCATTGGTGGTTGTGATCTATTTAGGTAGTATGATCGTCCACCATTCGGCATGAAACCAAATTGATTCACCAGCGATATGATATTGTCGATGACACCACGAGCTGTGTCCTTCATGTCGCATAGCATAAGTCCGTTAACAATCCAATACGTGTCCCAATAATAAAGCTCTCTAAATCTGCCTCCGGGTATAAAAAATCCATTTGGAACCCATATCAGTGAGTACTGGTCGGGATGTATTCTCACGTCATCCTTGACTTTCCTCGCTAGGGTTTTCCACACCTGGTTCAATCCCAACGCCCACTGTTTGTAGTTCTGGTCTCTGATCCGGTTAGCGATCGATGGGTTTTCACTAAAGTCGGGAGGATTCCATACCTCCAACTCATCACCGTCTTCTAAGTGCTCGTCAATGAACTTGACCAACTCTGTCAGTGGAGGCACGTCACCATTGTAAGCGTCTTTTAGTGTTTTATAATCGGTTAAAATTTCAGATTCAGTACATTTCAGTTTCTTATCCACGAACGTTTTCGAATCTGGATAAATTCGTGCTAATTGTACGTCATGCATGAATTCACTTTCACAGTAGAGTTTGCTTTAATTAAAACAATCAAAAATATAGATATAAGTACAATACATTTATTATACATCATATTATTATGTATTACGTACAATATTTAATATAAGTACTATATACATTATACATAATAATATTATATATTATGCATTTATGGTACCAAACCGTATCTGATAATACGATCAAGGGCGTCCGCAGTGGGGGCAAGTAGGGGCCCCGCTCTTGGATTTTTCTGGGTTGATTATCATTCATCATATATTATCATTGATGATTTTAATGCTCTAAAAAAACTAAAAAATGCCCTAACAATTCTAAATAGTGGACAAAATTATTTTTACTTTTAATATTAAAGATATAAATTCTAATATAGGTACATTTTAAACTTTTGAATGATTGTATAAAAGTTTTACAGACAGAACTTATCATTTGGACTACTTATTTAATCTGAAAATTAACTATTTTTTTTTCGGTACCTATAGGTTTAGACTTTAGATCATAATATATTCAATATAAAAATCATGTAAAACATGTGTACATTTAAAAAATATAATTTTAAATTTAAATTTAGAAAGACTTCAAAATGCTCTAATAATCTTTAAATGGAAAAAATTACCTTAAAATTTAAAATCGTCAAAAAATTCAATGTAGGTATGTTATAAAACGAGTAGGTATTGCGTAGATTTGGAAAACAATGCAAAGTGCATTATAATCCCAACCTTATCATTACTGCTGTAAAATGAAATATCGCAAAATAAACTTTTTTTTTTTTACAGAGTGATTTTTCTCTATTAAGATTCAGGACTAAGAACGTTACTTTTATAGACTATGAGATGTAGTGGTGGGACGAATTGCAAAAGGTATAGTGCAGTGTCAACCAAGTTTTTACTTTTTTATAAAAAAAATAAATGTTCATAGATGGCATACCTACAATAGTTACACCTTTTCAAATTTGTGGTATCAAAGACTGAATAAGTTAGAAATATTTAATTTTATAAATTACCTAATATTATAAAATAAACGGTAACATTTAATTATTAAAAAATAGTATATTTGATAATTTAAAATTACATAACTATTAGTTAAAATTAATGCTTTAAGAATAAGTTTTAACTAATTATGTACGTATATTTCATAAATATTTTTACATTCCTTGTCTATAAGAAAGAAAACATGTCACAAAAATACTATAGGTGTAACTAATAGGATAGTGAGACAAAAAATGTAAAAAGAAAAATATTTTGCCCTCCCCTTGACAAATTCCTGCGGACGCCCAAGAATACGATTATTAGATATCCTATTTATAGGACATGCATATAACCTCTATTTAAAAATAAACATCTTATTGACTACCTATATATTGTTATAATTATGTACCTGCCTATATTGAATATACTAAAATTTAAATAAATAGGCGTGTGCAGACATAGGTGCATCACTAGATCAATCCTGGTGCATCCGGTCCATTACCTATTGATAACATCTGGGCATGGGTGGGAGTAACCGATGACAGTGTGTGTCGCTCTCCCACTGTAAGTTAGTTGCGACTAGTTAGTACTAGTGAGCGGAGGTCCGCACGGTGCGTCGTGTGTAAGGACCCGAGCTGTTGGTCTGTGAGTAATTATTAATAAATACATTGAGTGATGAATCAATTGTGCGTTGTTATTGTATAGGGTAACTTAACATATCAGAAGTGGGATTTCGGATTGAAGAACGCAGTTGTAGTTGTAGTGCGCGTTTGTAACCACCGTGGTCGTCGTAAGAGTAGACGCGTCGTTCGTTGTAAACCGTTGTTCGTGTTCGTAGTGCGTTACGAATACGAATTGTTAATCTACGATCTCGTTAAGTGTTGTCGATACGTTGTACGATAGTGTTGTATTATAGTCGGTGGTGACTGTAATACTGTTTTGACGTTTGTAAATTGTATAATTGTATTCGTCGATAGTTGTTCGAATTCGGAAAAACGTGTTTATTGTTGTGAATTCGTGAGCTAATTAGAGGTTAGGCGCGACGTTGTAGGTAGTAACGGTTGGTACCCGTGAGTACACTCACCGCGGTCGATACACGATCATCGCTGAGACGTTATCAAGCGCCGTGTTGTTGTTATTGATTAGTGATAACAGTCGTGATAGACGCTATCATTCAATATGTCGAGCGACGGCGACGATGTGCAAGGACAAGCGCAAGCGCCGAAGGCGCCGACTTACAATGAACTTATCGCGCTCATTGATAAATTGCAGGCGAGATTATTGTCCAACAAGTCTGACGACGGGGACGCGAATAACCATGAACAAAATCGATCGGTATCAGAGTTAAGTACGCGCCAACCCGCGTTGGATTTTCGTGTTTTACCAGACCTGGACAAAACGGTAGGAGTGTTCAATGGTCGCGAATCGACACATGCGGCCGCCGACTGGCTTACATCAGTCGAAGGTGTGGCTGATTTAAATTGTTGGCCGTTCGCATACCGGTTACAGTTTGTACGTGCAAACGTACAGGGTGCAGCCAGAGATTGGTTCGTAGGCCGTACGTTTCAGAATTGGCCGGATTTCAGAACACAATTTAATGCGACGTTTATACGCACTGTACGCATGTCTGATCGCTGGGACGCGTTGCGTAGGCGAAATCAGAACAAGGATGAACATTCAATGGACTACTTTCAGTCGAAGGTGAGACTGTGCCGCGATCTCTCGCTGACGTTCGACGAAGTACGGGACCATGTGATTCAAGGTCTGCATTCACGTGAAATGGCCATGTATGCCCTGTGCAGAGTGCATAAGGATGAAAATGATTTGTTGGCGGACATATTAGACTGGGAGCGGATGGACTCGCTGAGAAAAACGGACACGAAGTCGGATCGACCTGTCAAGTACAAAGATTTGAACAAAACAAGTGAGCAACGAAGTCAGTCGACAGGCGACTTGCAGAAGGACAAAAGAACTTGGAGGCGCGCAGTTCCGGTTGGAGACAAGGCGGTTGCCGCTACGTCGAGCCAAGAGAGCAAGGTGACCGAGAAGGTGACTGATGATGTCGAGCGCGGCAGTTGTTTCAACTGTCACAAGGTAGGGCACCTTTCCCGTGACTGCCCAACAAAACGAAAACCAATGACATGTTTTCGCTGTGGCACTGCTGGCCATATGGTGACGAATTGTCCAACCCGGCAGCAAGTCAGCATTGTTGCTGAGCAGAAGAATGTGGAAGCGCGTCATCCGTACCAGAAGGTTGGAGTTGTGAACGACTGTGAGTTTGTCGCACTATTGGATACAGGTAGTCATTTCACATTGTTTAAGTCGACGCTTGCAATTAAGTGCGGGGTAAGCGTCCGACCATTTGTAAAACCGCTGTATGGTGTTGGCAGCACGGTTGTGCCTGCTCTCGAGACTGTCGGGGAGGCAGTGATCGAAATAGTGATTGATGGAGTCAACGCCGGACCAGTAGTTACACTAATCGTACCTGACAACGTTCAGGGACCCGATGCCATTATAGGGAGGAACTGGTTAGATTCACCTGCGATATCGTATTATAAATCTGGTAGTCAACTAGTAAACTAGTACTCGCAGAAGCAAACGTTGTGAACAAATTAGTTGATGCTACCGCTGTTACGTTGGGTAACGAGTTTGACAGCTTGCATGTGGTGAGCACGGAGGGCGAACTAACTCGTGCACCACTTGATTTGAGTGAATTCAAGTTCGTGGACGGAGATGCGAGTGTTGCGGAAAGGTTGAGTCTGTCCGACTTAGTAAATGAATATCGGGACTGTTTTGCCACTAGTTTGGAGGAACTTGGCTGTACCCCTTTGACTTCGATGGATATTTTGGAGGTAACTGGTAGCAAACCGGTCATGTGCAAGCCCTATAAAACGACGGCGGCTGACAGAGCTGAAATAGAGGGGATCGTCAGTGATTGGAAGCGCTGTGGATTGGTGGTCGAAACTCGCTCACCTTACGCCAGCCCGGTGTTGCTTGTCAAACAAAGCGCTGGCAAGCATAGACTCTGCGTCGATTACAGACGCCTTAACAAGCAGACCCTCCGGCAACATTTTCCATTGCCTGATATGAACGAACAACTACATTCGTTGGGGAGCAGCAAGTTGTTCGCCCAGTTGGATTTAGCCAGTGGTTATTTGCAAATACCATTAACGGACGAGGCGGCCGCAAAAACTGCATTCATAACTGAAGACACCACCGGTCAGTTTACTCGCATGCCGTTTGGCTTGTCCGGAGCTGTAGCAGAGTTTACCCGATTGATGCGACATGTGTTGGGTCCATTACATGGGAAAATTGTACGAAACTATTTGGACGATATGGTCATCGACGCCGTTGACTGGGACGATATGTTGTCCAAACTGAGGTTGGTGTTTGATCGGTTGAGGAGTGCGTGTCTGACTCTCAAACCATCAAAGTGTGCCTTCGGTGCCAAGCAGATTGAATTTCTAGGATTTGTCATTGGCGGTGGTCTGATACAGCCAGGTGAGTTGAAAACTCGGGCGATATCAGACTTCCCTACTCCGGTCGACGTGACGTCCTTAAAACGGTTTTTGGGGCTTACCAGCTTCTTCCGTAGGTTTGTAGAAGGATATGCGACCGTAGCAGAACCACTTACGCGTTTGACCAAGAAGAACACGGATTTCTTGTGGAGCGACAAGCAGGATAGAGCTTTCCGTGTGCTGAAGGACCGGTTGACAGAGCCGCCAGTTCTAACTATGTTTGATCCAAGTGCAGAAATTACCGAACTGCATACTGATGCCAGTTCGTTAGGACTTGGCGCTATGCTGTTGCAGTCCGAGAAGACTGGCGATTCGCTGAAGTTAGTTTATTGTATAAGTAAGAAAACCAGTGATTCCGAATCCAAGTACCATTCCAGCAAGTTGGAATTGATGTGCGTGGTATGGGCAATGAGTAAGTTACGTCAATTCCTCTTGGGGTTGCAATTTGTGGTTTACACGGACTGCCAGGCTCTTGTGTATCTGAACTCATTCAAGGCGACGAACGCGCAAGTAGCCCGCTGGCACGATGTGTTGCAAGAATACGATTTTACAATCAAATATCGACCTGGGAATCGGATGTGTCATGTAGATGCTTTGTCTAGGGCTCCAGTAAGCCCTACTGGTGATAAAGAACTTCCCTTCGACGTGGAGTTGGAGGATAGATGGGACGTCTGTGTATTACTGACCATCGAAGATAAGGTGCGGATGTGTCAAGCAGCTGATCAAGAGGTGTCGAGTATTATTCAGAGACTAAATGCTGATCCAGTCGACTACAACTTGGTTGACAAAAGTTTTGCTCTGGAGAACGGACTGCTGTACAGACGAGTTAACGGGAAGTTATTGTTCGTGATGCCAAGGGCTATGCGCAAGGGGTTGGTGGTTGCTGCACATAATCTGAAAGGGCACCCTGCTGTGGACCGTACGGTTGCTAATATATTGGAGGACTTTTGGTTCGTTAAGATGCGGAGGTATGTTGCATTTCACATCAAGATGTGCTTCGAATGTTTGATGGTGAAAGGACCAAGAGGCAAACAGCCAGGTCTATTGCATCCTATTGCTGTGGGGAAAAGACCATTTGACACCGTACACCTTGATCACGTGGGCCCGTTGGTTACCACTTCAAACGGTTTCAAGTATGTGCTAACTTTTGTAGACAACTTTACTAAATATGTAAATTTTTACCCTGTAGCTAGTACGAGCGCTGATGAGACGCTGCAGTGCGTCAAGAAATTTGTGAACGCTTATGGATTACCTCGAAGGTTAATTTCTGATAGAGGGACGTGCTTCACTGCTCGAGTATTCGAAGAATATTGTGATGGTCAAGGGATCAACCACATATTGACCTCCACGCGCCACCCACAGGCAAATGGACAGGTTGAGCGCACCCATAGTGTACTTATGGCTGCGTTAATGACGTGCGCTGAAGAAGGCAAGGATTGGGACGAGATTCTGACTGAGGTACAGAACTCCATCAACAATAGCGAAAGTAAAGTCACTACGAGGACACCGTTTGAGATGCTCCACGGATATCGTCCTCGGTTCCACCAAGGTATTCTGAGAGTATTGTCAAAAACTGCGGATAATTGGGAGCCTCCTGAAGAGGTACGTGAAGCTGTCCGTGAACAACTAGAGAAGAAGAAGGACAAGGACAAGGCCAGGTATGATAGGCACAGGCATGACAACACCCATTATACCAATGGAGAAGTAGTGGTCATGAAAAGGGTTCCTACGGTTACTGGGGAGTCTACAAAGTTACAGGACCGCTACAGAGGACCGCTAGTTGTCATTGAAGTGCTACCGGGAGATGTCTACCGTGTTGCAGAATTGGATCAGACAAAAAACAGTAGATTTGCGACAACGGCACATGTGTCCCAGTTAAAATCATGGCGTATTTACAAAGAAGATGAGCAGATGGAGGATGATGGTGAAGAAACGATTGAAGAGTCTGGTCGTAGTGGAACTGTTGGAAGGAAGGAAGTTGAAGAGACGTCTGACTCAGTCCAAGGGAAGGTTGCCAGGGTGAGAAGACCACCTGTGTGGCATGATGACTACATTGTTTAATTAAATTTCTAAATTTACTATTATTAGTCATTATGTAATTTATTGTCTAAGACTGTTACGTTTGTTGAATTGAACTTTTAAGTTTACTATTATTAGTCATTATGTAATTTATTGTCTAAGACTGTTACGTTTGTTGAATTGAACTTTTAAGTTTACTATTATTAGTCATTATGTAATTAATTGTCTAAGACTGTTACGTTTGTTGAATTGAAACTTCTAAGTTTACTATTATTAGTCATTATGTAATTAATTGTCTAAGACTGTTACGTTTGTTGAATTGGAACTTCTAAGTTACTATTATTAGTCATTATGTAATTAATTGTCTAAGACTGATACGTTTGTTGAATTGAAATTCTAAGTTACTATTATTAATTATTATGTAATTTGTTGTCTAAGACTGAGACATTTTGTTGAATATTATGTAAAATTGTTAAAATATTGTTAATTATAAGTTAAGGATTGTGAATCTTGTAATTGTAGTTGAACTTTACTAAATGTAATGCCTCAGTATGTATTCTGCTGTTGAGGACAACAGAGAGGTCAGGACGACCGGATGATAACATCTGGGCATGGGTGGGAGTAACCGATGACAGTGTGTGTCGCTCTCCCACTGTAAGTTAGTTGCGACTAGTTAGTACTAGTGAGCGGAGGTCCGCACAGTGCGTCGTGTGTAAGGACCCGAGCTGTTGGTCTGTGAGTACTTATTAATAAATACATTGAGTGATGAATCAATTGTGCGTTGTTATTGTATAGGGTAACTTAACACTATGGTTTTTAACTTTAATTGAAACACTGTTTTACTTAAATTTAGGTAAGTACCTAGGTACCTACTATAATGTAAAATCTAGTGTTTACGCATCACGCTTACATTTATTAATTGAAAAAAAAATATTTTTCCGAAATGGGATGGGACATAATTATTATTAAATATTAATGTATCAATAAAAATTTAAGTAGGTACACACTATTGAAAAAATCGAATACCTATTATTTATTAATAATAATACTATTATAAACATAATAACTATATAGGTAGGTACTATAGTTTTAATTTTCTTTCAATGAATTGATGCGTTTTTGTGTAGTAATGAATAATAATATACCTAATAATAATAACAATTAAGCTTATAGAAATTAGAAATATATTCGATACTATTTTCTTAACTATCCTACAAGGCTATACCTATGAGCTCTGATATACATTCTATTAACATTTGAGATGACGTCTTCCACTCTTCCCTCGGTTTCAACAGTGTTCTCACTGTCTTAGTATCTTACACACGGTGCTTAACATAAGGTAGCAAATATACGTGTCGGATCCTTACTACAACAGACTACAGTTTATTATTTATAGTTAATATCAGATACATACAATTCACGTACTGTCAAATTTGTAGAAGAGAATATAAACTGTACTCGATCGAAGAGTTTTTTTTTCATATTTTAATTTTAATATGAGTTATAACATTATAACAAGAATAGCCGTAGAGTCTACAGTCTACTTGAATGATTCATATCACTTGTTTTAAAATAAAAGTATGATAAAAATCGCTCGGATACTGTTTATATTCTCCTCTATAAATTCTATATAAGTAAATTGGCTCTAATATTAACTAGGTATATAATTATTATAAATCCTGCTATTATTATAAACGCGAAAGTTTGTAAGTATGTTTGTTACTATATCTTTCACGTAAAAACTACTGAATGTATTTTAATAAAACTTTAAATAAATGTAGCTTATACATTAGAATAATTAATAGGTTACAAATCACTCCCCTAGGTCCAACCAGGTATGTGCTCAAACGGGGATTTAGATATTTAAGGTGGAAATTTTTGTTCATAAATGGTCGCCATGGGTTTTAAAGCTATTATAGTAATAGGTAATTATTAGTTGCCGTGAAATCAGTGTATTCATTCAATGCATTTAATTGTTTTGTACGTTGTGTTTTGATATTACCTATATGTATCGCAATTACGTAAATATTGAGCTTATTATACTCACATATAAGTTACGTACATAAAACAATGCCACGTATTCTTGGATGAGAAGGAAATATTGGTCGACAGACTCGGCATTCAAAATATTAGTCCAACCGTTTAGGAGGAGTTCAGTGACATACTTGGTATAACCTTATAAAGTTACGTACAAACAGCACGGGGTCCACGATCTAGTATATCATAAAATACTGTTGCGAATCAGAATTTTTATCCCAGGCAACAGAAGAGTTAAGATAAATTTTGAACACTATACACAGAATACTAAATAACGAATTGAACAAAGTTTGAGTCATATAGAGTTGGTACATTTAACGGGAAACGAAGTGCAAGGGATAAGCTATTAATTATTATAAATTAACTGTAGTAAGAATCCGGCACATAATATAATATATTTGCTATATTTGCTTACACGTGTGTTTAACATTGACCGGGTCACAGGGACAACGCGCCATGTCGGTACGACGTCTACTTAAACTATTTTATTTTTACTGGGTCATTCGATAATTTATATTTATAATTCGATTTTATTAAAATATTTTAGCATAACAAAATATAAGCATAATTAGTTTATTTTTGTAAGACCAAAATGCAAAATAATTAATATGTTTAAATAATGTTTGCCTAAAACATTTTTTTTTGATTTGTGGGTTTAAATATTCTTATTTGTTTACTTTTGTAAAATGAATAAAAAACAAATAAACTTTTTTTTGATTTACATTAATATTGTACCATTATTATGCACTTCAACTAAATATTTGTACTGTGTAAGATTAAAATTACGATACAAAATAAACATTTTAAAAAACGTTTAATTATTATTATTGTTGTTTTATTATACGATTTGTGCAGTATTTAGAAAGTTCACTTAAAAACTAAACTCAATTTAACAAATGCACGCATAAAAAATAATTAGGTACTATCTACAGAAATAAGACACCAGTACACCACACTGACTCGCAGTGGATTTCAGTCTATATTTTCATAGTTTGCTTTAGAGTCTATAACAAATTATGAAAAACAACATGGTATTTAAAAAAGTTAAAGTATCATTCGCATTTCTTAATTTTTAATTTGTATGTAAGTTATAAGTGTACAATACAATTAGATAAAAAATATTTATTTAATTTGGACTGCCTGTAAAACGTTTAAGTTCTCTAAAAATATGAATTTCGTTGACGTTCACAATATTTATAAGAAATTTGTGACACCCACTTGTCTTTCATTAAATATGAACTCAAATACTATGAACGCGTTCTTTTCAAACACTGGATTCATGCAGTAGCGTAATTTCAGTTTTTATTAGACTAGGGCAACTTTTTACTGCTTTTCTGACTCAACATTTTTTTCATTCCGATTCTCATAGCATAGTGCCATATAGTGGTTAAGGGAGAGGGGTGGTGTTGGTAAATGTGCAGACTTAAGGTTAATGTAAATACTAGACTGGGGCAAATGTCCCAGTTGCCCCCCCCCCAAATGACGCCACTGGATTCATGGAGTACCTAATAATGTATAATTAATTATAGGTAACACACTAATACTAAATAATTGCCAGCGACAATTTAGTTGAACCAAAAAGTAGTTAAGATTTATTTATCTCTTATGTTTGGACTCAAAGATTAATTTATATATAAAGTACCTAGGTGCGTAATAATACTAATAGATAATATTAAGTCGACTTTTACAATATTAATGTAAGTCGTTTTGATATTAAGTAAGTACTTGAACTCGATATTGATTGTTTTTATACATTTTGTCAGCGGGAAGTATTCAACTTTTATTCATAGGACTAGGCGATGGACGATAATATGCGTGTTTTAGAAATAATTTTTTTATGTGAATATTAATAGTAGCAATATCAAAAATATTATTTCTTAGAAACGCGAATACATAGGTACCAATTTAAAACATATTATTCAAACAAATTAAACCAATTTAATATAATATTATTATTCTATACCTGAGGCATGTTGGCTGTAATGCATTGAATGCATACACCGTCCCAGTCCTCCAGTCTTCGCAAGGCGCACACATTAATCTATAGAAGATTTTTATATGTAAAAATAAAAATAATTGTATAGTTAAATATGTTTAAACACGTATTGAATACATTAAGTACACATTTCCATCATGGCTTAAAAAAATATGACAATTTTATCATTATAAATAAAGATCATAACACTTTTTTTTAACATATTATATAGAGAGTATGGGTTAGCTATACCAATCTAGGACTTAAGAAGTCATTAGAAAATGACATTCATATAAAGTATCTGTTTAGTTACAACTATTAACTAGATTATATTACGAAAAGAAGAATAAATGAAAAACGGTTCCCTACCGAAAAATATAAGTGCCAGGCTATATTTTTTGGTAGGGACTTGTTTTCATTTATTTTTCTTTAGGTTAGACCCTGGCACGGTTACGAGTATTGAGTATCTAGTAAAATGCATATAAAATATATATTTCAGTTAACTTAAACACTCCGTACTATAAGATTTAAAAAGAAATATTTTGATTTTGATATGTCAACATACTCAGAAATAATATATACTAAATAATTTACACTTTACAGTAGAAAAGAAGTTGAGCTCTCATTTAAACAATAGAAGTTTATATCTCTACAGGACATTCCTTAGTTAGTAAAAAATTTCAAACATTTGAAAATCTAGTCTAAAGTATAATATTTAAAAATGTGATTTGAATATCTACAGCGTTATTGAAGAAAAAAGGGTTGAGCATGCTTGATGAATCAACCTGTAAATAAGTGTCTATAATCCTATAATAAGATGTATAGACATGACAGCCGCCCTCCGACCCCCACTGAGAAGAATAAATATAATAGAAAGTCGTGTACCTATAATTATTGATAAATATATTGAAAAATTAATAACATATATTATTAGTTATTTATGCTAGGACTTAGGTCTTAAATTGTGTAGTAGGCGTAAATCCTTACATATGTATATGATTCAACGTATTAGTGAGGTTCAGAAAACTCAAAATATTAAAATTTAAAAGCTCGAAGTTATGACCTTTAAATTTTTTCCATCTTCGATCGACAGTCCTGCCATCAATAATGGCCCTATTGCATCATTATACTGTACAACGAGACTTATTCAAAAAAAAAAAATAATAATAAATAATAATCATTTGAATACCGTTTGGTTATAATATTATGTCCGTCGTATATTATTCGTCAGTTCGTCCGTCCGTATAGTTCAACAATTTTTGTGTTACGTATCTATACTGTCACCGTAATATGTTAATATAATATTATTATTGTCTATTTATATTGTGATTTATAAATAAATAATAAACATATAAATTATGTTTGGCCTGCACAACTATATTCGTGTCGAAATTATTCGAATAAATCGTTTTATCGGCGTCAAAAGTAATAATTGGATTTCCTTTACCTACTAATAATGCTTCGTACACATTTATTTGTTTGAGTTTGCGTTTACGTTTCTAATAATCTAAGCAATTTGAACTTTTATATTGAGTATTTGATTAGGCACTGCTACATTGCTATGTTATCGGTTATGTATATATTTTTAATTCAAGACGATATGAATTACGATGGTATCTGTATAGAAAACGGGAAGTCAGCAATTAGCGTGTACATTTAGATGAGTGAGCTTTTCCTCACTTATCGCAATTATATTGTTAGGTAGGTATATCGTTTATATATTATTATTATATTATTAACACCATCCATATACTATTTAGGCCATTAAATGTTAAAGTTGCACCGGAAACCATTTTCCCGATGTCAATAACAAACTGAGTAGGCTCTTAACATAATTATTTGAGACCACACTGAGTCGTCACCTGGTCAGAGACAGAGACAGGTTTTTTAAGGAAATCGTCAATATTCGTAAAAATATACAATTTTTATAGTTAAACTTTATTTGGAAACAATTTTTAATCAATTGTTTTTAACCTAGATATTTTAATTTGAATCAGAATATAATATTATTATAACGGTACATACCTATATAATTATTTGGTGTAACATTAAATTACAACTCTTTTGTTTAAAATTGCATAATATTTTACCATGATAAAAAATGAGAAACATATCATATTTTAAAAAATGTTTAAACCGATTTCATAAATTATTTCATAGTTTTATACACTGATACATAAATAAATATTTTTATGATAGGACAATTATTTAGGGTTACTATTTTTAAAATACAATCAAATAACCAGCATAAATAGTTTTTGTTAAAACAGGTACCTATTCTCAATATTTGATAGCGTTTTCTTAAGTTCTAGAAACTGTTGACACAGTCATGAAATCACATCTTTAATGTATTCAACTAAACAGAGACTTCAAACAAAAAATTAATTTTGTAGTTGTTTGAGGTAAAACCAATACCTAAAACTCATTCTTGACTGTTCGTTTTACTCAAAAACTAGGAACTGCAGAAATATATCGTGAATATAATATTATTGCTTGTGTTTTAAATAATTTATAATTTTACCGATAAACTTGTGGAACGTACGATATGCGTATTGCGTAAGTATGCGTGAGATAATTAAAGAAAATAATTAAAGAATGGATTGTAGGTACCTTAAACGTTGTAGGTTGAGGTTGAGACTGCAGTCATTTGAAACAAAATGAAGTGTGGCTGTTTTATATTATACTATTATTAAATCTGAAAGTAATTATGATCGTGTTCTCAATTTATAATTTAATGAATATGCTTCTAAATAACGTTCAATTTTCATCACACGTATTATAGAACGAGTTAAAAACCATAATCACTGCAGTAAAGTCTATAACTTTTTCGCATCGCTCAATTTCAAAATCAAATTTGTGGATTCCATAATAAGTTAAGGACTGGAATATTAATGTTTACACATCTTATATGATGTAAACTTCTATACTTTGTCAGTAGGTTGTAGCCTGTAGGTATAAAGTTTTTCAACCAAAACGCCATAGAGAATAGTCTCTATACTAGAGAGTTTAGAAGAAGTATGCATGTCAGGTGCACATGTCAAAATTAAAAGCTATGATCTAATTCGATTTTATTCACTATTATCCAGACTTTAGACTATCGACTAACGTTATTAAACAATGCAATTTTTTTGTTTTTCAATTTTTTTTTATATATTTCCAATCAATTAATAAGGGCATATCACACACTTGTTGTACGGACTGCACAAAAGGGTTATATATATAAATTACAAGTATTTTAACTATTAAAATTGCCTGTTCTTTTTTTAATAATACTAACATCAACAACAATTCCTTATAGTAATTAAAACAAGTGTAAAACTATCTTATACAATGTATATAAATGAAACAATATTTTAACGAATTATTTATCAATAAATATATGTTATTTCGAGTGCATGTTTTTTGTGTGTATAAAAAATCAATAATTCTAGATATGTGTTGTCTTTTGTTTAATAAAAATTATCTAAAAATAATATTTTTTAGATAGTAAAAATTATTATGTAATAATTAATTAATACTGAGTTTCTTCTTTGAATTTATCAGCGTTTCAGCCGTTTGACGCATGGTAAATTTAATTAGGTACCTAAGTATAATCAGTTTCCGGTGCATAGGCGAATAAGACGATTATCCTTGTCTTCTCAAGTCTGAAAAAATATTTTGCATCGTTAATATAGTTTATTTCATTACAACATTGTTTGTGACTGTTCTTAATGCATGTGATTTTTTTAAGTTGATCATAATATTATTATAATATAAGTTATAACTGATGTAATTTATTGTAAACTGAAAAAAGCTTAAGTAAGAGATGTATTGTCGTGTGCTATTGTGCTAAGTACTGTGTCATGAAATATAATTTGCAAATTATAAAATACAATTATATTTAACGAGTGCCTTATATTAGTGATTGTAATAGGCAAAAATATTCAGATTTTTCTTTCATATCATTTTTTATTTACCCAAAACATTAACTGTTGTCTGATCCTATTGAAATCACACAAGTATCTATAACCTGCAGTACATCCTAAAAACACAAAAAAATAATTTTTCAAAACCTGATTTACGTTTATTCAATTATTCCGTCAATATTTCGGACACTTCAAGCACGTTTGGTACCTACAAGTTAGTGGTAAAATATGAAGTCCACAAGGATACCATATATAAATTATGTTATTGCTGTTTTTGCTGCAGTTCAATCAATAAAGACTAAACTTAAATCGTGTCAAAATATTTACAAAATTAATAAAAATTGTTTTAAAATTTAGTTTGTTTTACTCTCGAAAGTTTTACAAACATTTTTCCTTTGTAATTTTTCAAAAAAACTTGGTTTGTTGTTTATTTACCGGACGTAGGTACCTAGTAACTAAATATAATAAATATCGTCAGTATCGAATACAATTTGAAGTTTAAGCACTAATGGTTTGCAATGCTTGGAGGAATATATGACACAAATTAATAATTAGTAATCACTAATAAATTATTGGTAGTTTTATTCGTTTATTGGGTGTTTTTAAGTACAAAAAACAAACACCAGTTAATTTTCAATCTACAAACTTGCAAGTTTTCGGTACCTGCAATGCTATACAGTTAGATTTTATAGTAGGTATAGGACTTGTATACACTAATTACAGAATTTTTTAAAGATATTTAAAATTTGTATTGGACGAGGGTGAAAGTTTTTCATTTAAAATATATAATGCTTTCGAAATGTCATCTTACCGTTTGTCCCGTTAGATAATATATCACCCCATCTATTTAAAAACTCAAACACGACTCCATTTGTCCAACCAAAACCTGTCTGTGGAGTATTCTCCACCGCCCCCAGTTTCTCCCGATGCTAGAACGTCATACTACAAAACAATTTTAAATTAGAATTAAATTAAAAGTAGACCTATACTTAAATGGTATAAAATTATGTCGTGTCTATATACCTTTTCGAACATCATTGATTTCTCTGTGAATGATTTATAATTTGAGCGTAACCATACTTCAGCCAATCTATAAGACACCTGTTGTGCCAGTTTCTGTTGTGTCCTGTCTAGGCCTTGAATGATGAAAGCCTGTAGAGGAGGCCATGCATTTGGGAAGTCCCACTGTTGTGATGAATTGTACAAAGACGTTGGTGTCCCTATATAAAAACCATAACACTGTTTTTCATTATGCACTTATTGAGTATCAGTACGACACTACTGAGTTGATCATAATATTATAATATATTGCGTCTTTTATCAGGGATTATAGTCATAAACAAATTGAGTTAAAAAATCTAAAAAATTCTTAAAGAGTTTCTTTGTGAAAACTTCTATTAAGTCATACCGTTGAAATTCACGGTATAATCGGCTTCGATGATATGATGATCTCTTAGATATCCCAACACTGAACTAGCTACAGCCTTTTTCGGCATGTTGTAGCTTTCCGTCCACAGAGGTGCAATATTGGAAACGAAAAAATATTCTCGACTTTTATTATTCAACATATCCCAGTCAAACCAGGCCCCTAGGTCTGGTCTCCACAAAACCTGCAATAAATATATTGTGTTATGTTTTTTTTTCAAAAATCAATATTCAATACACGTAATATTATTAAAAAATATAATCTAATAATTAATATACCTCTTGTATACTGTTGACAAGATTCTCGGCGATCGCACGATATTTCTCGGCTTTAGTTGTATCTCCCATCTTGCTATACCATGAACTCAACAACTGTGCATTCTTGTGCAGTATACAGTTCAAATCCACTGGTATTATATACGTCGTTTTTATATCAGCCAATATTCCTGTATTTCATAAACGCCGAATATACCGTTTTGAGTTGTGTTTCTAATATTGAAATAATGAAAATACATACCACGATCCGAGCCATTGGCAGTTATAAACCATCTACTTGAAAAGTCCCATCCAGTCTCTGCCGCAGACTTAATTTGGGTATACAATTCTTGTTTTTCGTCTTCAGTTTTCAAAAATTCTGCTGATTCGTAGTCCTCTCTGCATTAACATAAATACTATAGCCATTGCAATTGTAAATCTACCAAATTATACGAACCTATAAGACTCTGGTCTTGGACCCCTCGACGGTGCGTAGTATCTTGCCATTGTGTACGATTTGCCGTTCTTCTCGAAAGTAACCATTCGGTTTTCCGACCAAAAATCGAACTCACTATCTAAGGTCTAAAACAGTAATTGGTCATCAAGCGATCACAATTTAGTTTTGTAATTATTATTTATACAATAATAATAGTGATTGAACTTACAGAAATGACTTTTTTTACGTATTCGAAGTCATTGGTTGTTTTATAGTAGCTTGATACCATCAACGTCACCATTGGCGGTTGTGTTCTATTCAGGTAGTACACTCGTCCACCATTTGGCATGAAACCAAATTGCAGCACCAACGATAATATATTGTCAATAACACCTCTAGCTGTTGACGACATGTCACATAATAACATCCCGTTAACAATCCAGTAAGTGTCCCAATAGTAAAGTTCTCTAAATCGGCCTCCAGGTATGGCAAAACCATTTGGAACCCATATCAGCGAATATCTGTCGGGATGTAATCTCACGTCGTCCTTAACTTTCCTCGCTAGGGTTTTCCATACTTGGTTTAATCCCAATGCCCACTGTTTGTAACTCTTGTCTTTAATCCGGTTGGCGATCGAAGGAGATTCATTAAAGTCGGGAGGATTCCATACCTCCAACTCATCACCATCTATGAAATGTTCGTCGACAAATTTAGCTATTTCTCCTTTGGGCACTGCACCGTTGTAACGGTCTCTTAATACTTGGTAGTCTTTTAAAATCTCAGATTCTGAGTACTTTAATTTCATATCCACAAAAGTTTTCGAATCTGGAAAAATCTGAGCCATTTGTACGTCGTGCAATAGATTACTTTCACAGTATATTTGGCTAAAAACAACATCATTGTCAGTTAGATTGTTATTATATATATTTTAATACAATTACTATTTTCAATTTTGAATATTATAGCTGTAAATTTGTAATTTATTTTAGATTCTGGGAGGACCGATATTGAGACCATAAGAATAACGATTTTAGTTATTTAGTTGTAATCTATAAATGTTTTTCGTGGGGATTTGAAACTTTATGTAGATATATTTCTATTTTACATACCTACTCATTACTCAATATTTTCAAAACATTTAGATTATTTTTTTGATATTACCTATTTATAGTTCATACCGTATTACTGTAAATAGTAAAATATATTACAATAATAATGAATAGCAATAATTAATATGATAACAGGTCGACAGAGCTTCTCCGCCAGTAGCAGTTAAATTATTTTTCCCATGGCTGATTTTTTTAATATGCACTATTTGATATAAAAATAACTTATGGTTATCAGATATTAAACATTGAAAAAAAGGTCATGGAGGGGATTTTGCGGTTAACCAAACACTAGTTTTAGAATCTTTTTTCGTTGCAATGATTTATCATTGGATTCAAATTTAACTCATCGCAATTACAGTGACCTACTCAATGACGATAGGTACAACTGATGTACAGCAGAGCGGTCACCTACTATCCCCAATTTTTTTTATTGGAAATTTTAAACTAATAGTTTATTTTAGTTGTATGTACTTGTATGTTAATAAAACTATAATTATAAGCCTCTAAAAAAATAGTCTGTTGTATTAAAATATTATTTTAAATTTTTTCTTTTATATTTTAATTTATATTTTCTTACTGTTGGATGGTGGGATTAAATGTATATTCTTTGATCATTTATTTTTATCCATTCAATTAACTTTATGCCATTATTTTACTATATTTTTTTGAATTTACAATAGGTATGTCATGTCAAATGCTAATAAAAGATGGTTTTCTATAATAGTTATTTGCATAATATATTGTTGCACCGCAAAAGAGCACGTATTTAAACATTTAAAACCTTAATCATCGTCAATACTCTCGGTCAATCGAGAATGCTAATCCTATAATGATATCAGTTACACGGACTTTAATCCTATAACGATAAACCAACTCAATTACTTTATTCAATATTAGTTCTTAGTTTATATAGCCTAACAGGATTTCTCTAATGCATGATGATATTTTCATTTGACTTATTACGTATGAAGTGTTAAACATATTTTTTTATTAATTCCAATTGGAATATGTGTACTAGTGTACTTTGTGTACTTAACAAATAAAATCGTTATCTAGATACGAATAATATACCCTATCGAACATTTTATAATATTGACATTCCATATGACCATATAATTATTAACTATGCGTATTGCATAATTATTACCTATATATAATAAATACCTGTCTAAAACCGTAGGTACCTATTATAAAATTGGAATTTAAAACGTAATATTATGAATCATTCAAAAATCATGATAATAAGTGTGTAAATTTGTTAAGACACATTTAGTGGGATACAAGGACCTACTATAAAATAATCGATTTCAAGTTTCAATATAAACAGTATACCTATGTAATTTTCTTCATAATTTTTTGTTTTTGTCCTAATATATAGGTACCTACTATATTAATCGATTACTACATACTAATTACTAATCAATACAATTTTGACGAAGAACTACATTTAAGCTTGTTAACTCACAGCAATGACCATGCCATAAACTTGTTATTATTCATTATTATTTCGAGTAAGTTATAAACTAATTTAAGTCGTAAATATTTAAAAACATATACGTAGGCAGGTACCCGCCAGTATTGTAAAATACCTATGGAGTAATGTAGTATAATAAAAAAATAACTCATCTTATACTTAGGTGGATTAGGATTAGGTTTTTAAGCAACATATTCATATTACTTATTTTAAAACGTTAAAATTTGTATAACTACTATTATTATGTTATGTATTTTCTATTAATTATAAACAGTATAGGACTAAATATTAATTGTTTAGGTTTCTTCACTACGTTTTTGGGAGTTACAAAAAAATTAACAAATTCTATTTCAAAAACAATTTGTCTTATTTTCCGGTAGTTTTCAAAAAATCACTTAAAAAAGATCAAAAAAAAAAAAACTGATGTAATCAATTTTTTTTTATCAAAACCTTGACCACTTTACATTTTTAAATTTGAACAGAAATTTAAATAGAATATTTATTTTAGTATAGGTATTTGTGTGTTGTGTGTACAATGTACATACAATAACGAGTTAATATAGTGTCCATAATATTGTTTCAACGGTTGTATGGATTTCCTTGTGGTTATTTATTTTTTTCTTCTGCACGTTATGTTAAAAAATATGTTTTTAATGTTTTTTTATGTTTTATTGTATCTCGTTAACATCTGTATTGCTTTTACTAAGACTGCAGACAATACTTGGTATTATCTAATGATAAAACATTGTCAATATTAATGTTAGAGTTCAGCAAAAGCAATTTTTTGGTAAACTTTTACGTTGTTAATTTTAAATCGTTTTAGTTAGTTCATATCATATCCTAGAATATAAGCATATTATTGGGTAGATTTAGCTATAATGATTTTTTTATCGTACAATCAACATATTAGGTATTACACTATTTTCGGATAAGTTAGTATAAACAGAAATATTCTCATTTTTTTTTGGGGTGGATTTAAGTTAAAACTTAAAAACATAATGCTGTGTTTCTTAGACACCTTTTAAATTTTAACGTACAAAACCGATTACTATACTTAACTATTTATTACTCACTATGAATTAGGCATAAATTATTTTATAAATATATATTGTTTACTCTCAATATTAAATATGAAATAAATATATTATTTTGATTTACGAGTGCCAATGTTTGTTTTATATTTAGGAACAGTATTTTGAGTTAATATTTTGGAATATTAAGTTCAAATAAAATAGTTAACTAGGTAGTTCTAGACATTTTATATTCATTAAAACTTAACCAAAGTGGTGAATAATAATTGCATTTAAAATCAATAAATATTAAATAGTTAGATTGACAAAATGTTAACAATGTTACTTTAGAAAAACATAACTAATCTACTAAAATTATTATATTGTTTAAAATATAAACTTTACCTATAAGTTCAAAGTGCAATTTGTTACCAAACATGTTGCCATTTTAATTTGTTAAAAACAATTTAATATAACCTCAAGAGTTTTTATGACTAAATCAAATATCAAAAAAAAGTAGGTATACCATTGAGGGCAATAGAACATGATACCTAATTGTCGGAATTAATTAATGAACCAGTTCAACAAATTTTAAGTCAAGTGAATATTTCTATATACCTTTGACACGAAGGCCTGAAGTCCATTGGATACGTGATAATATCCTCGTGCCAAATGAACAAATTCCTGATTATTTTGCATGTGTGTAATACGTGAAATGTGCCAGACACACGACCAGTAAGTTAGTTATACGCATACTTTCAAAAATATTAAACGAATTACAATAATACGCGGATGATATTGTGTACACAGAGAGAAAAATAATATTTTTATTTTATTTCTTCCAATAAACTAGCATAATCTGTTTGTTATAATAACTTGTGTTAAAGTAAAATATTGGTTATTTTTTCAATAAAAATTTGAATATTAAAAAAGAAAAAAAACGTGAGATTTTTAAGTTGGACCCTGAACCTCCTTCACAGGTTTCCCACAGGCCTTGCACGAATCGACTGCACCTAATGAACCAGCGTACATTGCGCCTTTATCGGAACGCAAGACCCAATGCTAATGTTGCCTAATAATTCATTAGACAGATAGTGTACGGTAACCCCTCATGTGTGATAATTTGTGCAAATACGAGCAGATAAAATACACGCGGTATACGCACAAATTGTACAAAGAAATGTTGACACGTCTTCGTATTGTAAATCTATTTTCCCCCCTTTATCTTATTCTAGTTTTACAACAAACATATTACTTAGAATGAAGTAGGCATATGCAGCAATATGTGGACAAATTAGCTCTATTCAAGTTAGATGTTTTTTCGCATTTCCTTGCAACAATTTCATGGCCATGTCAAACCGTTCTATATTTGTGTTCAGACGAATTTATAATACCTATGGTATAACTGACAAATCCTATTTAGGTATAATTTATTATCATTCACTTTTTTTCAGGTACAGTATTAAAATGTGGTTGCTACCGTTGTATGCACAGTTGTCACTATAGTACTATAGTACATTTGTAAGTAAAAAATTGGACCAATATTTATTCATTTGGTATGAATCTACATCGATTGTCATTCGTATAATGACAAATCAGATTATTTATTTCAAATTTTTACACAAAATTCGATAAAAAAAAGGTGCTCTGCTCTACAGTAGGTTACAAGTGGGTCACTCTATAATGGATGGTATTAAATTTGAATTCAATGATATAATATCATTGTATAAGAAAAACGATTCTGAGCGGAGACGGTATATCAGTCTAGGTTTAAGACATATTATATACATATCAATGGTAATAAAAAAAAATATGCACAGTCTTATAATTGAGCATACTTCTTATTCCTTATACAGTTATACTATGGTATAGATTATATGGATAGGCAATAATAATTTCATTTTTTGATTTTTCAGTTTCATATATCCCCGAGTATATGTTTAAATGACAACAAAAAATCGCTAATATTGATTTTAATATGTAATTTCGTCCAAATTTGAACTTAAAATGTCTATAAAAAAAACTGTGATTGTGTATTTTTTAGATTTTTTGGTAACAGAATTAACTACTACCATGGAATCTTGTTTTAAATTTTCAATCCTTAGATATAAAAAGTGAACATTTTATAAATTTTTATAACTACAAAATAATTATTCAATTTTAAATTTGATAAATTTTGTCAAAATTCGAAATTAAAATGCTTATAAAAAAAATTGTGCTTGTGTATTTTAAATATTTTTAAACTGATATT